TTTTTTTTTCCTGTGTCCGGCAACGGTTCGCAACCCTCAGTGTTGCCCCCGTACTGGACCGGGGACCGGCAACAGGATTGCAACTCTCAGCGTTGCTCCCGCACCTCGCTCAGCCAGTGAGCGGGAACCGGTCCGTATGTGGGATCCGAACCCTCGGGCGGGAGCGCCACCGCGCTTCCCAAGCGGTGCACTATACAGTGCACCACCGGGCCGGCCCTTTTATTGGACTTTCTAACCAGTACTCTTCTACATGTATCTTAATGCATTAACAAAACAGGACGCCTTGTCATTTCCTAACCTTCTTTTGTACTTTCTTTCATACAGATATATTCATGATGATTCTCTTCCTTTCTTAAATGCCTTTTAGTCTTCTCTCAGTCCCAGCTGCAACTAATACACATTCCTTTCACTCTCTTTCCTAGAACTTTGTGTAACTTTAGCAGATACCGTTATTTATATACATGGGTACTTCAAAAAAGCCATGGAAAAATAGAATTCAGAGATACCATGAATTTTTTCATGAACTTTTTGAACTACTCTCGTACATGTCTTTTCTCTTATTCTAAATTAATAGACTTTTTGGTTTAGTTACTGTGTCACAGGCTCAGTTCCAAACACTTTTCTGAATTAATTCAATCCTTAGAAGAACCTTATGAGCTAGATATTATTTTCACTCCAATTTTCAGATGAAGAAACTGAAGTACAGAGAGGATATGGTAACTTGCCTAAGGTTGCCCGGCTAGCAAGTCATAAAGCCAGGCCTTGAACCCACGCTGCCTTGAACCCATGCTGCCTTGAACCCATGCCTCCTTGAACCCAGAGCTGTTTTCTTAACATGCTACTTCTCAAAAATATGGTAACTTGCCTAAGGTTGCCCGGCTAGCAAGTCATAAAGCCAGGCCTTGAACCCACGCTGCCTTGAACCCATGCCTCCTTGAACCCAGAGCTGTTTTCTTAACATGCTACTTCTCAAAACACTTTAGCTGAATAAAAGAACTTTGAAGCTAAAGTTCAGATTTTTGTTTTTCAGCAAAATTTGCATGGTTTTTATTGTATCAATTTAAAACATTTTGTCTTATTTTAATATGAAAGTTTTATAATATTTAAGCATGTTGTAGAATTCAAGAAGAGGGGGAAGAAATATAATTCTTTCACTTTAACACAATAAGTGTTGTTTGTGTTCCTTTCCAGACTTTTTAAAATAGAAGGTTTTTAACGTTTGACAAAAATCCTATAATACAATTAGTTTCATGTTTTTGTTTATAAGGGATTTTTTTAAAAAATGAATATATATAACAGGGAAGAGCAAAGGCATTGTCTTTGACTCACCAATTTTTCTCAGAGAAAAATATGCAATGATGTTTGATGAACCAGTTCTCCTGCAAGCTGGATGGTGGTATGTAGCATGGGCTCGGGTGTCAGGACCCAGCAGTGATTGTGGATCTCACGGACAAGCTTCTATTACCACAGATGATGGGTAAGAGAAATATTTAAGTACTACTTAAGCAGGTCTCATTTTTGTTCATGGGATATTGTTTTGAAATCCCAGGGGACTTTCAGTAGCATAAAAACCTTAGTAAGACTAGAGCATAATATAACTGCTAAAAATTAAATTTGTGTAACCTCATGCCAAATTACCGTTTAGACAGAACAGGGAGATAATAGGACTGCTGTTCTTTGCTCTTGCCAGATGGCATTTGTATGTGTTTCTGGGTATTAAATTGTTTAAAAACTTTGTTACCAAATTAGAAAGTATATACAGGAAGGTGAAAAGGATAGTGAGAAGTTTGGAACCATAAAAAAGAAATATATACTTGCTACTAAATTTGATAGTGCATATGAAGACAGTTTATAAATTGCAAAGCTTCAGGTATATGAGATAGTATTGTTTTAATAAAATGTAGGGAAAATTTTATTATTTAAAACTAACTTTCATATATAGAGTGCTTTTCAGTTTAGAAAACACTTTTATATGTATTATCTCAGTTGATGCCCTTAGTTAATAACTTTGTGAAGCAGTTATTAGCCCCACTTTATATTCAGGGGACTGGGAAACAAAAAAGTGAAATGCTTTGCTTAGAGTCATATGTTTACTTTGTGGCAGAACCAAATCTGGACCTGGAATCTATTCACTCTAAATCTAACATTCTATATACTGTACTCTATTACTCTGATTCATTTGTTTGAAAGGATTATCATTTGTAAGAGAAATTCAGTTTATTCTTTATTACTCTTGAGCATAAACTGTTAGAAATGGGTAGAAGTTATATGATAGTATATTTCATTTTAGTTAAACTCATAACAGAGCTGACCAAAAAAGGGACAGACTGATTTATGAGGTGAATTTCATGTTGCTGAATATCCAAAAGACTGCTGTAGAAAAATTTATCTGTGGTATATATCCCTTTCAACTTACCCTGATTGCGTGCTAGAACTGAGGAAGCTGCTTTGACCCTGGACTGTGTGATTCCCATACGTAGTTCATTCAAACTTGGAATATCATGCACTTTGAGGCTAGAGCCTATAATGCATGTAGTCAAGCAGATTTTGTACTGTTTGTAAGTAAAAATCTTTTGTTAAAAGTTTACTTCTCTGGTTAAAGCTGATATGGGGGGCTGAAAGTGGGCAGGACAGCTACTCACCTAGGAGTTCAGTTTCTTCATTTCACTGATTAAGACACTCAGAGCTAGAACTAAAATCCAGACAATACTTTTTGCTTTTCTTTTTTTCTTTAAAAATTAATAATTTTCATTAATGTAAGATTTAAAAACATTATTGTTAAATTCCTTATTTCCTTTAATAAAACATGTATCATGTCATTTTTGGAATTATTATTATTTTTTCTCTTCTTAGGGTTGTATTCCAGTTTAAGAGTTCAAAGAAATCAAATAATGGTACAGATGTTAATGCTGGTCAGATACCTCAGTTATTATACAGGTATTTAGCATATTTGTAGTTAGTTAATATGGTTGTGCTATGTTTCTATGGAGAAATTATTTGAAGCAATCAGCAAATTGTAACATACAGGTAGAAATATAGCTACATTTAACAAAAACATTTAATTTAGTTAAGGTTTTGTGTCTTTTTAAATACTTTCTTTATCATGCATATTTTAAACTTTACCTAATGAGTCAGATTATTTGTTTTATGCCAATAACAGTATTTTCATGACTTGTTTTTTTAATATCTTTTGATTTTCTTACCAATTTCACAATGTTACACACTAATAAAATTTTTCTTGCTGAAATGAAACTGGGGTGGCGTGAGAGACTTTAGATGTAGGTCTGATTGATTTAGTATAGTCATACTTCTGGTTCATCTTGTGATGGAATAAACTGGAGAATTCCTTACTGTTGATGAATTTTCTCCTTTAATTGAAATATCAAGTAGTAGCTTACTCTTATGATAATATTTATTATATTTTAAACATTATTTAAGCATTTGAATTATCTCAGTAATTCAGACATGTATGGAAGCATACACCTATGTGTGTGTCTTGTCTATTTCTAGATCTGCAATGATTTTAAAGAATTAAAATGGATATAAACTCACGAAAAAAATGTTAAGCAGTAAAAAAATCAAAGGAAATGTCTCTAGAACATTGATTCTCTGTCTTCCATATCTTCTTTTCTAGAAATCACTTAAGGAATCTGGTTATTACAAACCTCATTTTTCCCAAGAAGAGATTTTTGTTTGTTTTTTATGCAATTTATTATAGTTATTTTTTGTAATGTATGGCTTTACAAACATAAATTGCATTCAACTACTTCTGGGTACTACTGGTTGAATATGTACCATATTGACATTTTACCTGGAAAAAAAATTTTTAATGTATAGTTTAATTATTTCACTATTGCGAAAATGTATATTTTTAAAAGAAAAATGTCATTAGATTTGTCAACATAAATATATGTGTGTCTACTACCTTTAGACTTCCAACCAGTGATGGCAGTGCTTCAAAAGGCAAACAGCAAACCAGTGAACCTGTACATATTTTAAAGAGATCTTTTGCGAGAACTGTCTCAGTGGTAAGCCATTTTTTAAAATTTTAGTTTTTCTATTCAGGGCTCAGTTTTATTTTGGTGTTCAGAATTTAGCCACTCTTCCAAGTGTTTATCTCAGTGTAACTTTATGAATTCAGATTTGGTTTTGTATTAGCATTTATATTCTAGGCTAAAGATAATACTTACTTTAAATGATGGAAAAATAGAGATGTTCCCTATGATTTTAATATGTCCGGCTGACTTGGCCCACCTATTTCTGAGATAAATGATGGCTTTTAAAAATAAGTCATGTACGAATGCCTATGCTGAAAGAATTAGAAAGTAAAAAGTTAAGAATGGCACTGGCCCAAAAAAGTGTTACTTTAATACTTGAGGACCTAAGTAGAAGAGTTGCATATCTAACTAGGAACTTCATTGAACTATTTGACCATCCCCATTCTACATTTAAAGATGCACAATGCTATTGGGGTTACCAGTGTAGAATGGAAAGTCAATATGATATAATTGAAAGATCATAGTATGTCTGCTCAGGAAGTCTGAGTTAAATTCTTGCTCTTTTATTTATTAATTGAGGATTCTTATGCAAATTAGATTACATCATAGCATTATTTTGAATTTCTAATGAGATAAAGGGTATAAAATGCTTTTTGAACTGTAAAGCACTATATGAATGTGATTTGTTAATGTAGCTGATAGTTTCTCATGTTGGTAAAATGCGTAGGAGAACTTTTTTGTTTGTTTTTTTAAATCTCAGAATTAATGCACATCCCTGGTAGGAATGGGGTGGAATAGGGATAAAACTATACTAAAAGTATATTAAAGCTTTTTCTCCATTCCCCCATTTTTACCATATATACCTACTATTTACATTTTGATGTATGTCCTTTCAGACCATTTTTATACACACAGACGCTTAGTGTGTACATACAGTATGCTGTAGATCATTCTTGTTTGTTTTTTATACTTATGGTTTTCATCTTTTAAATATTTCATAGTATACACCATGGACATCTTTCCCTGTTAATACATTTTGTTCTTTATCAGTCTCTTCTGTTTACATAGTATCCACAGAATGGTTGTATTCTAATTTATTCAAACCTATTCCTATCAAACAACCAGTTTGTTTCTCATTTTTTGCTATTACGTTTTGCTTAATGAGCATCCATACATGTGTTCTTTATTACTTATGTGCATATTTCTACTAGAACTATGCCCATTTAAATTTTGATATATTTTGACTTTCCAAAAAAGCTACGGCAGTTTACAGAGAGTGTGCTTTGAATAAGAGACTGCAAGAACTTTGGCTCCTTGGTACCTTTGTATCCTTTTAGTATTAAGATTAGTTTGGTATCTTTTGATCTAAATACGGATCTTTTACTCTCTTATGTCTTTTTCAGTGACCTCTTTTCTCTGTGCTTAGTAATCCTTTTGTATTTATGTGTAAGTGGTTTTGTGGTTATTAGGTAATTGTAATCTTTACATAAGAAACTTATTCAATCATTTCTTTAAAAAGTTATACTATAAACTCTCACTTTTGGTCTTACTATTACCAGAGGTCTAGGATTTGGTGAGGGTGGGGAAATAAGTGCTCTGTTTTGAGGTTCACATAGTATCTGTCATCATGTACGCGAGGTAAAACCTACAGACCAGCTGGAACCACAAAGAAAATCCACCACTCTGAAGTCATAGTCTAGAATTTCTAAAAATCCAGACAAGATTTTTTTAGTATTTTCTAGTCAATTTTTATCTTCTGTTAACTTATCAAAAATTGGTATATAGTTTGTATCATCATACTGTCACTGATATCTAATATTAAAATACTTGCTTTTAAATTTTATTTTTTACTACAGTTACTATATATTTAATATTCCTTTTTAGTAAAAATGTATAAGTGTCTTCAATTTTTCTCTTATTTCTGTGATAAACAGCACAGGTTGGTAGTGGGGAAACTTAAAAATATATTTATAAGTAGATAAATATTGAAGAATTTTTTTTATAAGTGCCTAACTACTTTATCTTGTTTGTCAAACTTCAGATACTCTTAATGGTAATTTGTAAATGAAGTATAAGAGTGTCTATTATTTGGGCTATAAAAATGTTCAAAATATGGCTGGTTACTCAGTTGGTTGGAGCATGGTATTATAACACCAAGGTCAAGGGTTCAGATCCCTGGAAAAACAAAAACAAAAACAGGGCTGCCCAGTTAGCTCAATTGGTTTAGAGTACAGCCTTGCCACCCCAAGGTCAAGGGTTTGGATCCCCATGATGGACAGCCCACCCCCCCAAATTCAAAATAAAATTTTGAAGTTGCATGTCATTATCTTTCCATTCAATTCAACTTTGGTATCATTTGAACTAATTGTTGTCTGTTTATTCATATTCTGGATTAGGAATGTTTTGAGTCATTGTTGAGTATTCTTCACTGGAGCTGGACTACATTAGTCTTAGGAGTTGAAGAACTTAGAGGATTAAAAGGATTCCAGTTCACAGCTACACTTCTAGATTTAGAGAGACTGCGCTTTGTGGGTACCTGTTGTCTGAGGCTATTGCGTGTCTATACCTGTGAAATTTATCCAGTGTCAGGTAAGATGAATTTGTTAATGACTTTTGGGAAAAAACATTTGAGACATTGAGAAGGTTTACACAGAGATAACCAAGAGTTTAAGATCCCTCACCACCTTTAAGCTGATCCTGAAATGAGAAGAGAAAGTCAGCTTGCTATGATACTTGTGTATTAGCTTATATAGAATAAAATAGATTACATGTCATTCTGATAACAAAAAGTCATAGTAGGCTAAAATTCCATACTCTAATAGAGTGTTATTAAACAAATTCTGCCAAATAGAAATATTTTGAATAACTGATTAGATGTAAATGCTGAAACCACTTTTTTTTTCAGGCAGATTAAAAAAAAAAAAATTTGGACCACACTAAATCTATAAATTGTTTCACGTCTAGGTTATGAAGCCTGTGATTTTTTAGATATATAGGAAATTACTGAATTATGTAGATTGTTGTCATGCATATTTAGTGTTCTACTTTTGCTTTTTTTCCCTCAAAGCTACAGGAAAAGCAGTTGTAGAAGAAACTAGCAAATTAGCAGAATGTATTGGAAAAACCAGAACTTTGTTAAGAAAAATTTTGTCAGAAGGAGTTGATCACTGTATGGTGAAGTTGGATAATGATCCTCAAGGATATCTCAGTCAACCCTTGAGTCTCCTAGAAGCTGTCCTTCAGGAGTGTCATAATACTTTTACTGCCTGTTTTCATTCTTTCTACCCAACTCCTGCCTTACAGTGGGCTTGCCTCTGTGATCTCCTGAATTGTTTAGATCAGGTAATTAAAGTTTTTGAAATGTTAATTGAAATCTGATATGTTGCTTAATGCTCTTCAAGAAAATTAATTGCAGTGCCCCGTCTTTTTAACTTTTATAAAAAATAAATTAAGAAATCAGTTTGGTGTATGTGACTTGCCTAATCAAAATTGAAAAAATTGAAAATTTGTTTTTGCTATCTTCTTTATCATATTTTGGTTATAAAATGGGCAGCCACTTTGTGCAGCTGCTGATTTGTTCTTTGAATCTCTTTGTGAGTGTGTGTATGAGAGAGAGAAAGAGAAAAAACAACAGTGAGTATGTGAGAGCGAGGACAGTATCAGAAGGGCGGCCCTTGTGGCCTCCTTGTATACAAGGACAGGAAGGCCAGAGTGCTGAGTGAACAGGCATGCAACATCATTCATTCATTCATTCGTTCATTCATTCGTGAGGAAACCATAACCTTCACAAATGTGTATGCAAACCAAATCACAGAATTTCAAACACCTCAGGCAAAAAACTGACAGGAAGAAATAGACAAATTCACATTGATAGTTGGAGACTTCAGTGCTCCTCTTTCAGTAATTAGTAGAACAACTAGACAAGAAAATCAGAGATGTAGAAGATTTGAACAATGCTGTCAACCACCTGGATCTAATTGATATTTATAAAATAGAATATGCAACTGCAGAATATGTATTCTTTTCAAGTACACATGGAATCTTCACCAAGATAGACCATATGCTAAGCCATAAAATAAGTCTTAGTAAATTTCAAAAGATTAAAATCCTAAAGAATATGGTTTCAGGCCATCCTAGAATTAAATTAGAAATCAATAGCAAAAGATATTAAGAAAAGCATCAAATATTTAGAAAATAGACAGTATTTCTAAGTAACCAGTGGATCAAAGAAGAAATCACAAAGGAAATTTAAAAACTTTTTACATTGGAAAGTAGAAATGTAACACTATGACTTGTGGGATGTAGCTAAAGCATTATTTAGTGTGAAATTTATACCTTTAAATGCTTATACTAGCAAAGAAGGAAGGTTTAAAATCAGTATCTAAGCTTCTACCTTAAGAAGCCAAAGGAGAAGTAAATCAATCACAAAGTAAGAAGAAAGGAAGTAATAAAGATAAGAGCAGAAATTATGAAATAGAAAATAGGGACAATTAACAGTTAAAAGTTGGTTCTTGGAAAAAAAAAAAAAGATAAACTCCTAGCAAGCCTTATTGGAAGAGAAAGAAAAAGAAAAACTATAAAATACCATTATCAGAAATTAAATAGGGAATATCACTACAGATGGAACTAATGATAGGAGAATATTATGGATAACTATACCAATGAATTTTACAACTTTAAAGGAAGTGGACAAATTCCTTGAAAAATGTAAGTTAACAGAATCTGACACAATAAGAAATAGAAAATTCTGAATTGTCTTATGTCCATTAGAAACATTGAATTCATTATCAAAAATTTTCCCACAAAGAAAATTCCACACCCAGACTTGTGTTAAATATTTAAGAAAGAAATAAGATCAATCTATTACAAATTCTTCCAGAAAATATAGGAGGCAACACTTCCCAACTAATTTTATGAGGTTAGCCTTATCCTGATACCAAAACTTAACAAAGGATATTACAAGAAAAAAGTACAAGTAAATATCACTCAGAAATATAGAAGTTCTTAGAAATATTATCAAGTCAAATGCAGTATTGTAAATAATATGCAAGTATCATTACCAAAGTGGGATTTATCTTAGAAATTCAAGGTCAGTTTTAAATTAATATTATCTCAATAAAGAGGGCAAATTTTATGATCCTCTCAATAACTACAGAAAAAAATAAGAGTACTTAAATAACAAAATTAGCAGTTATTTAGTGATTAAAAATTCTCAGCAAACTGGGGTATAAGAAAACTTCCTCAGTCTGGTAAAGAATAGCTACATAATATCTATAGCTAACATTCTACTTAATGATGAAATATTGAATGTTCTCTTAAGTTTGGAAACAAAACACGGGTGTCTCTTCTCACCACTTCTATTCAACTTTGTGCCAGATGTCCTAGCCCCACTTCACCCCACCCCCCCAAAATACTCACTATCATCACCAGAACATTCCACACAACTTTGAATCTATGTAGTAAGGCAGTGTATTTTACCACTCAATTTCCTGGGTCAAGATTATTGCCTGGACTAGTGCACAACTTAATTACTCTCTCACTCTCAGCCTTCCCAGTCTGATATATTTGTTTTCTTCCTTCACTACTGAACAGGTTAGATTTAGCAAACATTGGTTTAACTTAGGGAATGTTGACTTTCTAACACAAATGTTTGATGAACTAAGTAATATATACATGATTTTTGTGGATTAGGATATCCCATGTTGATAAGTTTTAATATTTTATTATAAAATTTTACAAGTGTGCTACTAATTTTCCTCAATAAACTGTGGAATGTGATGACGTGTTTTTGTGACCTTAGCGAAATGTTGCAGTCGCACAGAATTACATTTCACATTACTTATTATTTGAGAAAAATAATTTCAGTGCTTATTGGAAATGCCTTAGATGTATTCTGATTGAAGAATTGTTGACGCCTTCCTTCGAAAATAGTGCCTATGATTGTGAGGATATATACATACGTAAACTCTCATTTACTGGAGGGCAGGAGACTGATTTTTCTTGACCGTACTTAATTTTTCATCTTCATGAGATAGGAACAAATAATTGTGTTTTAAAGTATCTCTGTAATGTTATCCTATAGCAAGACAATTTAAATGATTGAGTAATAGAAAGTCTTCGTATGATTTAAATGATTGTTTACCTTTTTTGTATCCAGAAACATGGATTATGTTAATGCAGTATTTCTTTGGGGGTGCATATTTTTGTTTTTAAAAGGATATCCAAGAAGCAAACTTCAAGACGTCAAGCAGCCGACTCCTTGCAGCTGTTATGTCAGCTCTGTGTCACACTTCTGTTAAGCTGACTTCTATCTTCCCTATTGCATATGATGGAGAAGTACTGCTACGATCAATTGTGAAACAAGTTAGCACAGAGAATGACTCAACACTAGTTCATCGTTTTCCCCTTTTGGTGGCACATATGGAGAAACTCAGCCAGGTAAGTCTTTTTCTGAAATCTCTTTTATCATGTGGCAATAAAACTGTAAATGGAGGCATATTTAGCTTGGTGCTTATTCTTATATATGGGTAAATACATTTAACAAATGATTATCTGTTTCATAAGAAGAGCAAATATTTTAAAATCTCATATTTACCTATAAATGAGCGGTCTTTTTCCTCTGTTTTATTCTGAATAATCACTCACCTGTAAAAAATCTGAGAGTTATTCATTGAATACATATACATTTGTTTTTTGCTGACCATTTAAAAGTAAGTTGAAGATACCATAAGCAATCTTTTATATTCTAATATAATATTTAGATTTCAAAGATGTAATAATAAGTAAATAAACGGTTTTTAAAACATCTTTTGTATGACATTTTGGTATGTTAAGATAAGCCCTGTAAAACAATAGGCATAGGAAGCATTCTTTAATAACTGCTTAAAAACACTGTAAAGAACTTACAGACACATGAAACCATATATCATTACTACCAAGTCAATGAGAATTAATCTATAAAAGTGAAAAAAGGAGTAGAATATAGAATAGTTATCCCAATTATTGTACAATAACAATTTTCTGTTACCCAAAGCAATAAAAAAATGATGAAGAAAATTTCAACAACATATAGAAACAAAAAGTATAATAGAATGGGAAGAAAATTTGCAGAACATTTAATATAATATCTTTGCAGGATCCTAGTAGAAATAATAAAAGTCAATGCAAGAGAATAAGCTAGCATGGGAAAAATTTCATCCTTACTAGTAACTAAATATGAATGAAAGTAATATTGAGATATCAATTTATTTCTAGAAATTAGGAAAAATAATTTTTTTCTCTTATAAATTCCTATGCTGGTGAGACTATGGGGAAAAATACTAAACTTAGATTGTTCATGGCATTATATAATTATTCTAAATCCTTTTCTCTCAATATTTTAGCAAATATTTTTCATGCACCTACTATTTACTGGGATTTTAATTAGGCACTAGTTGAGATAGGAGTCAAAAAAATAAATACAGCCCTTGAATTGAGGGTCTACAAACTAGCAGATATCTTTAGAAGATAAATTGTCAATTCACTGTTATAAACTATGAGTATTTTCACAGGAAACTAAGAGAATAATTGGAAGACTATAGCTGTATGTGTATTTTATTAAAAGGAAAGATTAGAAACCTTTATTTAGAGCTTTAAATGTTCATCATTAAGTGAAAGAGCTGAATTTGGGTATAATAACTTGATAGAATATGGTTCGGCTATTACAAATAAGTATGTTTATGTTTATTATCAAGGCAGATGTTTTAAATTTTTGAAACTAAAAAATCAGGAAAAAAGCATGTATACACAATGATGACTGTGAAATATGTGTGCACAAGTCTGTCAATTAGAAGAAAATACTGAAAAATGAAAATAATGCATGGGTGATAAAGTTATGAGTAATTTTATGTTTTTTTTTTTTAGAATTTCCTTTAATGTTGTAGTGTTAAAAAAATAGTGAAAAAAATTATTTTATTTTAATTTATCAATATACAATATAGTTGATTTTCATGTCCTTTGACCAATTCCTCCTTTTCCTCCCTCCTTCTTCCCTCTCTGCCACATCAACATCATATCTGTTCATTTGTCTTAACAAAATTAAGGAATTGTGATCGTTGTGTCTCCCCGCTCCGCCAGTTCGTTTATTTACTTATTTCTGGGTATATATATGCAGAGGAATGGAAATCATCATGTTGAAGGGATACCTGTACTCCCATGTTTATTGCAGCTCTATTTACAATACCCAAGAGTTGGAACCAGCCTAAATGTCCATCATGGGATGAGTGGAAAAGGAAAATGTGGTATATCTACACAATGCAATACTACTCTGCTTTTAAAAAAAAAATGAAATACTACCATTTGCAGCAACATGGATGGACTTAGAGAAAATTTTATTAAGTGAAATAAGCCAGGCACAGAAAGAGAAATACCACATCTTCTCACTTATTTGTGGGAGCTAATAAAAAAAATAGTGAAAAAATTTTAAAACTTTAAAAACATTTGTAGAGAACTGTTGACGTTTAGTGACTATTAATAATTAATAATTACATATTTATAACGTCTATCTTAATAGAGTGAAGGAGAGTACTTCAGAGAGTTCATGGAAAAGTGGAATTAAAAGATAATACAAATCTTTGCATGAACTTTTTGAAGACCACTTGTATATTCTTCCCTCTTTATAACGGACATTGTAGCACTATTTTAGTGTAGTGTAATATATTTAATCAATCCATTTTTTATATATAGATAGATTATTCTCAGTATTTCAGCATTTTAAACAATGCTGCTGAAAATGTAATTGGCTAAATTTTCATGCATGTTCATAATTTTCCTAGTATAAATTTCACAGTAGAAAAATTCTGAAGTCAAAGGAAAATATGTTAAGGGGATGTTAAACTGTCAAAATGCTCTTTAGAAAGCTGACGTCAGCTTGCATTCTCTGCCACTAGTGAATGAGAGTGCCTTTCTCTAAAATTTTAGTGGCCAGTGATGGGCTAATATTTTGTCCTTCTACAAAAGCATATTGACAAATTATTAACTCCATTTTAAAATTATGTGGGAAAGCTTTTTTTGTTAATCTTGGGAACTACTAATTAGAAACTAAGCAGGCAAAGATAAGTACACTCTAACCCACTCCCACCTCCACCCCTAAATGAAGCCCCACAAGATTCTTGATTATGGGGTATAATTGGGTATTGAGTATTATCAAAAGTTTAATGTTCTGAGATATTTCATAAAGTAAAGTTTCTGGAGAATGGAAAGATGTCAGGAATAAAAGAATCTGAATTTTAACAAAATTAAGAATTGATTCTTTTAAATCCAGAAAAATTAATTATATAAGAAATTAACTAAAATGTTATAGTAGTCTTATTCAAATGATAATATAAATAAATGTGAAAGATTATCTCTGACTGGCTTTTTTGTTTCAGCATAAGATTGTATATTAGGAAAGAAGTTGAGAGTGATTCATAATAATGCTTAATACTATTTTAACTAAAAAGTTACTTAATTTCCAAATGGTTTTAAAGTGCACTCATTTACCTATTTTTTTGTCTTGCAAAGAAAATGATTTAATTTTAAGGCCCCGCTTGACCCCCCATATTTTATGATTTTATGAAATCTGTTGAATCTGTTAATATATATTGTAGCTTGTAATGCAATGTGGAATATAAGTATTATGGAAGAACTTGCTTGCTCAGGGGGCAACAAGGTGGTTTTGATAACTGAGTCATAGCAAATAGTTCCCCTGATTTCACAGATGACGAAGTCAAGGCACTATGAAAAAACTTGGTCTAGATACCAAATTGATTTCTTAGTCCATATCAAAACTGAATAGTCACAATGACCTCCTGATGAAATTAAGTTCATTTTGCTCTCTGTCCACAGTGGGCTAAAAGACATAGAGGATGGTAAAGGAGGTAAATAATTTTTATGCTGGATATCAGCTAAATTAATCACCTTTTGGTTTTTTTCTGAAAAAAAGTTTTTCCTTTGGTCTTTAATGGGACTCTGATTTTTTTTCTGGAAATTTTTCTGTTGGGAGGGGCTGGAATTTTTTTATCTCCACTTAGGAAATTGAATACATTAGAAAGTCAATCGAATATAGTAGAAGCTGCATAGGAATTACATGCATGTACAAAAAGAATTTTGTTAGAAAATTGATTTGCACAAACTATTTAGAGTTACTTTACCTCTGAATATACCAGAAATAATTATTTCAGATTCGAATCTTGTCCTACAGAGAAAGCTTCTTAAATGCGAAGAATAGGTTTTTTGTCTTTCATATAGTATTGTGACTGAAAAGTTAAATAAGAGAATATGTGAAAATGATCTAAAGCTCGTAAAAACACAAATATCTAAAAGTGTGGTACTTTTACAATACACGGAGACTGCTAACACAAAAAAGAACTTTTAAGTGAAAAGTAGTTATAGTGGCTCCACCTGCAAATGGATAGATTTATAGAAATAGGCTCTGATTCAAGTCTGAATTTTAAGGGTGTCATGTGGAAAGACAAGATTTGACAGATGAGTACTCACACGAAGGAAAATATAGCAATACTTTGGCACTTTTTCTTCTCATGTACCAGAGTGAAGAGAACATCTCAGGGATGACAAGCTTTCGTGAAGTGCTGGAGAAGATGCTGGTCATCGTGGTACTGCCAGTCAGGAACAGCCTGAGGAGAGAACACGAACTCTTCTCTTCCCACCTGGTATCCAACACCTGTGGGTTACTAGCCAGTATCGTCAGCGAACTGACAGCGTCAGCCCTGGGATCTGAAGTAATAAATTATACTTTGAGATTGTATAATAAGCACTTGTTTAAATTTTCCAGTTTCTTTTTTTCATGTATTTTGGCTTTGTAGAAACTAATTTCGAAATGGATCAGCAGCCCCACTTCATTTTTCCCTTTTAAAAAAAAAATTCCTTCAAACTCAGCTTTTCTTCCTTTTTTTTGTTTTTTTGCTCTTTCTTGTACTACTTCTTGTCTGCTTTTATTTGCTTCTTCTCCCTCACCAGTTTACCAGGATTGTCAAATACTTTAATATTAAGTGTATGTTTTCCTCTCAGACTTAGACTTCTCATCTGCCCACAACCCCACCACCATGCCCCAATAAGAGCAAAGATAGTTCTCATTGCTGGATGATAAGAAATGTTGATAAAATCAGCCTACTAATGACGAACCCATGGTGTAGAGAAGGTAACGAAGTTCAAGCCTTAGCTTTGCCCACTCAATTGACCCTAGACAAATACATATGTAAAATGGGAATAATAATTTTCATCTCATCTATATCACAGTCTGTTTAATTGTAATAAACTATACATAATATAAAATTTACTACTCATTTTTTTGTGTATAGTTCACTGGCATTAAGTACATTCACCTTGTTGTACAGCCATTATCACACAGATTATCAAATGTTATGTTTGAAAAAATCACTGAAACATTTTAAAGTGCTGTTACATTTTGTAAAGTAATGTTTTTCTCCATTTCACTGCCTTACTCATTCTGTTTTGTAGCTTATCTGAATGTTTTGACTGAATTTGGTGAATGTTTCTACTTTTTTTCCTAAGAAGCAGACAGTAGATTGTTTTCCTGTTTTGAAAATCATGTCTTAATGTGAAATATGTTACACATTCAAATGGATGTTTAATAAACAGCATGTTTTCAGTGGCCCCAGCTCTGAAATTTCTGGCCAAGGAACTCCTTTTCTCTATTTTACTTTTATAATTCCTAGTCTTTGCTTTTTCTTACATATGGATTTATTTTATAACCTCTTCTGAATGAACCCTTTTAATCTACACTCATTACTTATTCATAGTGATAGTTTGGCCTTTAGAATTTCTGAATGATCACATGCACCTGAGCAAATTTTAGTATCTCACTTTGGGAAGCTCTTCCTAGGTTTCTTGGTTAGTTTTGACTTTGGCCTAGGAAACCATTGAAACCTTTATTAGAAAATGTTTCATTTTTTTTTCTGCAAATTTTAGTATCTCACTTTGGGAAGCTCTTCCTAGGTTTCTTGGTTAATTTTGACTTTGGCCTAGGAAACCATTGAAACCTTTATTAGAAAATGTTTCATTTTTTTTTCTTTTAATCTATTCATTCAGCCTATAATATGCTTCCCTTTTGCAATAGACTTTGGAGGATGCAGGAAAGTCTGCAACACACAGAGCCCCTTCTGAAGTTGACTAAAGAGTTATCCCCTGTGAACTTACCTTTATGGATGAAAAGGAATGCCACAAATTGTAGAGTGGCTAATGTACAACCTTGAGAGTTCCCAAAAGTTCTGGCTTAGATATCCATATTTTTTTCTTTCTCAGAGTTGTTTGTAATTTTTTCTAGAATCATAAACTCCAAATTTTTCCTCTCAAGTCTCCCAAATATCTGCAGCCAACTTAGATTAGAAGCAGGCTCTATAAATAAAAAGAGCTATTTCAAGCCACAGTAAGTTCTCCTATTCTCTCTAATGAAAGTCTAATTAGTGTGGTTGTGCATGTATCTATATCTATTTATCTATGTCTATATATATCCAAGTATTAAATGCGAAGTTATAAAAATATCACTCTGTATTAGTGGTATACAAATTTAGAATACAGATCATTTTCTTCAAATGAAATCTTACTTGGAAACTCATAGAAGAGAAAAGACATGATCTTAAGAGGGGAACCTTCAATCCACCTCTTCCTTACATACCTCTTTCTCTGCAGAATTCCTAGAGCATTGTGTAGCATAGTTTGAAAACTATAGGTTTATAGAATGTTGATGAAATTTTTGGTACCTTTCTTTGAAGCGAGTGATCATTCATATGTTCTGACTTGATAACTTACAAGCTGTAGTTGTGACATTCTAAATTAAGTGAAATTTATAGTTTAATATGACTAAAAGAAGAAAATACTGTCAAGTGACATTGATTTGTGAATTTAGAATGATAAAATCTGTTTTATTACTGGTTAATCTCTTAATAGAATGTACCCTTAGGAAGGTTTTAACTCATGTATGAAATATACTTTATTTTATTGGACTTAGAATCCTTTGGATAGTTTTGTTGAAGGTGTATTTTTAACAGTCAGGTACAGGCTACTGATGTAATTGCTTTTGTTGTTTACAGGTGGATGGACTAAATTCTCTTCACTCTGTAAAAGCCAGTGCTAACCGATTCACTAAAACGAGTCAGGGAAGAAGTTGGAACACTGGGAATGGGTCCCCTGATGCAATCTGTTTTTCAGTAGACAAACCTGGAATAGTTGTGGTTGGCTTCTCTGTCTATGGAGGAGGTGGAATTCATGAATATGAATTAGAGGTGTTGGTTGATGATGTAAGTTTCATTCTTACAGTGTTCATCTTGCTGTTATATGTAGGTTTTGTGTAAGGACTTAAACATTGTCAGAGTGTGATGAGTCCAAACCTTTGAGGGTTTAACAGGTCAATCATAGATGGATGACATTAAAGAAATTGAATGGAGTAATTTTACTTGATTGAGTGAGTGCCATTTTGGATCACTCCTTCCTCATATTTTTTGCACTTTCAGAAAGGGAAATATTTAAAATGGAATTAAGATCTAGAAAGTATATAGCTAAGCCTCTGATTATAAGTCTTTAGTAATTTTTTTTTTTTTGCTATTGCCATTTTTCAGAAAACAAGAACAGTGTTCAGATGGATGATACTATCTCAATCAGCAGTAAAGCAATTTTGTCAGAGTTAAGGGATGTGTAAAGACAGTATTTATTGATTTAGGTGTATCTTTCTGTATTCTCTAAATTATTTGAAGTACTGAGTTTTCATAAAGTTTTAATAAAATGGGACACAAAGGTATAGTATGTTAATCATTTTCTAGTAAATAGCAGTCTATCTATAGCTTAATTTTTTGGAGCAATTAATTTGAATTAATTCTCTATTTTATTAGGCTCTATAATTAGATATAACACTCTTCTTATGAAGAAGTGGGAATAGTTTATGATATCAGATGAGAAGAGCCCTTTTATATTGTAGTATCCTCAGGAAATTAGATAAAAGTGAATAGTTTCGAGTACCAAAAATTTTTTCTTTAGTATACGGCTAATTCTATATGCAAGGAAATAACTGCTTAAAGACAATAATTAATTATAAATCAAAATCATTCATGCAGTAAAATTAAGATGGTATTTGGTGGATTTTGTTTTGTTTTGTTTACATTAGAGTGAACATGCAGGAGATTCAGCTCATTCCCACAGATGGACGTCTCTAGAATTAGTCAAAGGAACTTATACAACGGATGATTCACCTAGTGATATAGCTGAAATCAGACTTGACAAAGTTGTTCCTCTAAAGGTAATTCCAACCATATGTTTCTGTTTAAATAAGAGGTATTATTATGTAGTTAAAAATAGTGAAAAGCATTCCATGAATTTTCTTTGTTAGATATAACTATTCCTGTTATCCTTTATGTGGCACTTCAGATATTTATGGAATACCTACTGTGTGCCTGATATTGTATTGTATTATATTCTGTATGTCATAAAGTCTGGTATAGTAGGAAGTCCTGTTAGGTTTTGGAGTCAGACAGACCTAGCTTCAGATACTTGCTCTCCCACATATTTGCTTTAAGACACTGGCAAGTCATCATTTAATCACTTTGAGACTTATCTGTAGATTGGAAAGAATAGTACCTACACTGTAGTGTTATTCATATTAAATCAAATAATGGAAATAAAGCACCTGCTTCAGTGTCTAGCTCAGTACAGAAACGCAGTAAATATTAGTCCCTCGTCATACTTTCTCTCATTGTGCCAAAACTCATTTAAACAACAAGTGGTCTTAATAGTTGTTATTAACTATTAAAATTATTATTTCTTCCTATAACTTAATTTTCTGACAATAAATAACTATTTGGCAAAATAGAGAAATTTTACTACATTACTGTAATTATTGATGTTAAAGTTGTTCCTAATTCAGCCAAAATAAATTTCATTATAGAGAATTTTGAATAAGATAAATTCATCAGAGACTTCATCAAAAAGAGTTTAGATACTGAAAAAACAGAAAGCCTTCATTATGAAGTTTATATCATGGATCATAAGGCATCAGTATCTATAGCTCATATTTTCGGTGTATAGGGCATCATATTTTGGACAATTTTTATGGATGTTTTTTCTCATGCTTCTCTGCCTATTTCAGTCTCTGAGTGTCTCTAAAAATAAAAATATAATGTACTTACCACTATTTTCCCACATTTGAAATTATTTCAAAAGTTAAACTGATCAAGGAAAAATATTAGCTTATGTAGTTAAAATCTTTTGTTATTGTTCATATTCTAGCAGCATGATTAAGAGTGGGAACAAGCCACACTGCTTTTATTCAAATCCTAGTTCCATTACTTATTAGCTGTGTGACTTTGAGCAAATTAATTAACCTCTTCATGCCTCAGATTCCTCATATGTAAAAGAGGGATAATAATGAAACTTACCAAATAAGGTCATTTTAAGGATTAATTTAATTCATCCCATAAAGTACTTAGGACAATTTCTGTTATGCAGTAGGCTTTCAGTACGTGGTAGCTGTTATCATGTTTGATTCATTAAAAGCTTATTCAATAACATCTATAAATATGACAAAGAAGTTTAATATATTTGCCCAAGTTACTGCTGGAGTTCTTTTGTATATCCTCTGTCCATTATGAATAAATATAAACATGTTTTACATCTTTATCATGAAGGAAAATGTTAAATATGCTGTGCGCTTGAGGAACTATGGAAGCCGTACAGCCAATGGAGATGGAGGAATGACCACAGTTCAGTGCCCTGATGGTGTGACATTTACATTCAGCACGTGCAGCTTGAGTAGTAATGGCACAAACCAAACCAGAGGACAGATTCCGCAGATACTCTACTATAGGTAGGTGTACGTATGGAGATAAGGGAAATATTTTAAATGGTAGAATGTACACAATTTACTACCAAGGTAAAAAATGCTAAATGGATAGTTATAATGGTACAGCATATCTTCCTAGAACATACTTGTGCTAATTCATATAAAGTCTCATTTTAATATATAAATTCAATGTTTACTGTAAAGGTGAATCCTTTAAAGTGTTTTTGCCATTATCTCTAATACTATTGAGATTTTTGTGTACTGGGCATATGCACTGTTTGCTGTCACTTTATAATTTGTGGTCTGCAGTTTCAAATTTAGATGGAATTTATTTCTTTTTACAAAAAACCTAAAATTAATGATCAGGTTGACTCTACCAAGGTAGTGATGTTACCTTGATCCTGTTTTCCGTTCTACAGAATATTTTGGTATCTGTAAATCTTGTACCCACCCAATCTAGCCCCTGGGGCCCTTGGTGCGTTTCTTATAAAATTTTTAAGAAAACCCATTTCTAATGTAAACAGTATAAAATAAACAATGATAACTTTTGTGTTAAAAAAACTTTTAAATATACATTTTTCACTGAGTCTGAATTTTTCTTTTAGCAACTTAGCTGGAGTCTTAGGTAGTAGTGAGTACAATTTATCACATTTGTCCTCAACTTGAGTTAGCGTCAAATCACTAAAGTTGCACATCACTTTCAAAGGCTTGTTCCTTCCTCCATTTCTTTCATAAACTATCTGGAGACACCACCTGGATAGCTAGTATAAAGTAATTTCCGTAGATAGAGATAGAGATTTTCTGCTTCCTTTCTCCATGTGAAACAGAATAGATATATGAGGATATTTCAAAAAGTTCATGAAAAAATAGAATTGATAGATAATATGAATCTTTCCATGAACTTTTTGAATACCCCCTCATGGTATTAAGTAGTTATTTAGTGCAGTGTTGTCTTTTCTTTTTACTCCAATCAAGAAAAACTGTTTTTGTTACATCTATACTACAATAAACAGTATAGTAATCTTTTTCTCAAACTATAGATTAAAAGCTGTATTGTGCACAAAAGAAGTTATATATTTCAAAACGCTAGACAGCCATGAATAAGGATCAGCTCTCCAAATTTTATATCTTATAAAAATACAGTGTTTTAGACATATTGATGTTTTCCCACAAAGCTTTAAATACTTTTAACTTTAAATTAAAAATTAAATTAGAAAAGATTAAAGTTCCTTAGCTTTAAATCTGATCCAACTCTGATGGCTTCCAAGTTTATATCTCCAGCTTTGGTGTCCTCTAAGCCCTAGACTGAATATCCAGGTCCGTCTTTGACATCTTCATTTGGATGATGCTAACAGAGATGATGACAGTTAATGTGCACTGAGCACTCACTGTGTGCCAGGCAATGCAGTAAGTGCTTTGCCTGTGTTATCTCAGCTGGTCGTCACAGCAACCCCATGGAGTAGGCACTTTTCCTATCCCTACTCTGCAGATGAGGAAACCAAGACACTGAGTGGTTAAAAGACTTGCTCAAAGTCACACTTCTAGTAAATTATGGTACTGGAGTTTGTAGGCAGGTACTATATACCACACGTTCTCTTTAAGGATGTTCTACAGAGTTGGCTAATAGACATCTTCATTTAATGTCTCCAGAGTCCTCCTCTCTCATCCACAGTTGCAGCCAAACCCCTTGGAATCATTCTTGACTTCTCTCTTTCCCTCACAGGTTACGTGTCGGTCATCAAATTCTGGCAGCTGTACTTTTAAAGTGTCCTAATCTAACCTTTTCCACCACTCCCATAATTAGTGGTCTAGTCAAGCCACCACTACCTCTACGTGTCTACCTGTAATGCCCTCTAAACTAGTCTCCCACCTTTTGCTGTTGCCCTCCTCCGAGTCAGATCTCCACAGTGCAGCCAGTGATCTGAAAAAAATATAAATCATACCAAGTTCTGCCCCTGCTTGAAACGAAATAGTTTCCCATTGCCATACCACTATAAAATGTGAAGTTGTTACTGTGGCCCGCGAACCTCACTGGTTGACTGCTATTTTACTTCCCTCCCTGTAACCTTTCACTCTTTCCTCTTTCATTCCAGCCATTCTTGCCTTCATTCTGTTCACTGAACTCACCAATCTATTCCCTTTGCCCCGACGGTTTTCGCAGGTTCTTTGCATGCGTTTTTTTTTTTTTTTTTAATGTAATTCAGGTTTTGTTAAATACCAGTTCCTCAGAGAACTGATCTTATTTAAAATAACACCCTTTACTTTATGCCCTATGCTTCATTATTTTTCTTCAAGGCCTTTATAACTTACTGAAATTATATAGTTACACATTTCCTTTTTTTTTTTTGTCTTTTTTCGTGACCGGCAACGGATCGCAACCCTCAGTGTCGCACCCGGACCGGGACCGGCAATGGGATCGCAACCCTCGGTGTTGCCCCCTCTAAAAAGTGGGGATAATAAAAGTATCTTATTGTGAGGATTAAGTGAGATAACACATGTAAATGAAACCTTTAGAACAGTACCAGCCAGGTCCTTTGTAAGCACTCAGTGTCAACTATAATTTTGCTCAATTGAATAGATTTAGTTTAACATATATACAGCACAATGAAATTACTTTCTAACTACAGTTTTAATACCTTTTTTAGCTGATGACATTCCAGAACTGCTTAGCTCTTCCAGTCTGTTTTCCATGCTGCTTCCCCTTATTATAGCCTACATAGGACCAGTAGCTGCTGCTATTCCCAAGGTGTGTAATTTAATTCTATAATTTTGAATCTCTTGGAAAAAAATTATTTTTTAGACTTTGTATCTTTTCTTTAAAAATATTTTAATCCTTGAGGCACCTGGGTTACAGGTAACAAGAAGCTGAGATAGACATATTAAATGATAGAAGTTATTAGTTAAACCTCTATTGTAGTTGTTTACTGGATTACTGTGCTTATTTATTGGCTTTACATTTGAAGAATTTGGGAGTGAGAAATATATTTTAGAAATATGATATATAAGGAAAGATTAAGTTAACTAAGATTTTTAAAATTTATGAGGTTGATGCCAAATCTTTTCCGTTGTGAATAACAATAGCAATGTGATTAAACTGGATCTTTGCTTTATTCTTCTTTTAGTAGTTCTTCTTTTATGGAGTCAAAAAGTTTTTTTCTTTCACTGTTTCCTATTTCTAGTAACATGTTTCCATTCACCCGAAGGTCTGGGTAACCTTCAGTGCCTCCTTAGGTTCACTTGTCTAACTTAAGTTCTATGTGTTTTTCCACTGGAAACTCTCTAATCTGTATTCTCCTCTCTCCCTGTTCTCCCACTGCCATAGTTCTGGCTGCCGTGGTGCAAGCATGTATCCTGTTTCTCATGGATGGATAATATCCTAATAATCTCCGTGCCACCTTTCCCTCATTCAGCATCTTATAATCTAGTTATCCTCCACACTGGCAGCAGAATTATCAATATAAAAACATTCACTGTTACTCCCACCCCCCAACTATTATCTGTAATATTTATTTCTAAGCCAGCTGCATGTCAGATTTACCTGGGAAGCTTGCTAAAAATAAAGACTATTTGGTCCATCTCCAGAGGTTTAGGCTAGGCTCAACTATTATCTGTAATATTTATTTCTAAGCCAGCTGCATGTCAGATTCACCTGGGAAGCTTGCTAAAAATAAAGACTATTTGGTCCATCTCCAGAGGTTTAGGCTAGGCTAAGAAGATGTATTTTTAAAAAATAAGTTTTCCAACCTATTCTGATGCAACAGCAGACCAAGAAACCAGTATTTGAGAAAATAATTGGCCTTTAATATACAGGTCTTTCATGGTCTAGGCGCAACTTACCTTTGCAGCACCATGATTATGGGTAAATGCCTAAAATGTCCATCAGCAAAGTGCTTTTATTGGAAAAATAGAAGACAGTATAGCTTAATAACAGCAAATATTCTTGGAGTGCTTAATATATGTAGGCATTGTTCTAAACGTTTTACATATATTAACTCATTTAATCTTCATAACATCCATTAAGGGAAATAATACTATAATCCTATTTTACAGATTAAGTAGTTTGTGTAATGTCACTCATATAGCCATGTTCGGTGCCAGAGTAGTAAATTAAAATCATGGTTCTGTTACCCTAGGTTCTAATCCTGGCTCTATCACTTTAAAGGTACATACGCTTAATAAACATTAAGTATTTTGGGTAAGATACTTAAACACTGTCTGCTCTCATTCTAAAAAGTGGGGATAATAAAAGTATCTTATTGTGAGGATTAAGTGAGATAACACATGTAAATGAAACCTTTAGAACAGTACCAGCCAGGTCCTTTGTAAGCACTCAGTGTCAACTATAATTTTGCTCAATTGAATAGATTTAGTTTAACATATATACAGCACAATGAAATTACTTTCTAACTACAGTTTTAATACCTTTTTTAGCTGATGACATTCCAGAACTGCTTAGCTCTTCCAGTCTGTTTTCCATGCTGCTTCCCCTTATTATAGCCTACATAGGACCAGTAGCTGCTGCTATTCCCAAGGTGTGTAATTTAATTCTATAATTTTGAATCTCTTGGAAAAAAATTATTTTTTAGACTTTGTATCTTTTCTTTAAAAATATTTTAATCCTTGAGGCACCTGGGTTACAGGTAACAAGAAGCTGAGATAGACATATTAAATGATAGAAGTTATTAGTTAAACCTCTATTGTAGTTGTTTACTGGATTACTGTGCTTATTTATTGGCTTTACATTTGAAGAATTTGGGAGTGAGAAATATATTTTAGAAATATGATATATAAGGAAAGATTAAGTTAACTAAGATTTTTAAAATTTATGAGGTTGATGCCAAATCTTTTCCGTTGTGAATAACAATAGCAATGTAAAAAGATAAGAATATTTTTAAATAGTGAAATATTCAAGACATGGAAGAAATCATAAACTATTGATTCTTTGGCATAGTTAGACTTTGAGTAAAACTAATTTTATTATAGATCACAAAAAAAGCAAAAGTGTTTAACAATATAGATTAGGTTATTTTCATATGATATTTAAGACATCTAAGATAGATCTTTTTTATCCATAGAACATATTTCTCTTTGAACAAGAACTTAGCTAGTAGAAATTCTAGATAGAAATTGTTGTTAATAAGGATAACCAACAATGACAGTAATTCATAATTTAAAAATCACTTTCACATTCATGATCTCACTTAATCATATTTTTCTATGTATGTACTAGGTGGCTGTAGAAGTCTTTGGCCTTGTCCAACAATTGCTTCCCTCGGTTGCCATTTTGAATCAGAAGTATGCACCCCCTGCATTCAATCCAAATCAGTCAACAGATAGCACCACAGGAAATCAGCCTGAACAAGGCCTCTCTGCTTGTACAACCTCTAATCACTATGCTGTCATAGAGAGTGAGCACCCATATAAACCTGCTTGTGTGATGCATTACAAGGTAGGCACTGATTCATAGTAAGAATTTAAATTTAAAACATGGTTTGAGGTTCTCTAATATCTTAAAGAATGCTTTGCCTGTGTTCAGAAGCATAACTTCTTTTATAGTATTTAAATATAGAGAATCGGCAGATGGTTATGGACTGTTGGGTATACAAAAAGGTTTAAGGCAGAATTTTTACCTTTTGTAAGTTTATTAGAGTTATTCTTAGATCTTTTTACAAGTATCGTAGAGTATATAATGCTCCACTCTATGCTGTATATTGTAGTAACAGAAGATATCAAGCATTAGAAGTTTTAAATAATATTTGTTGAACTGATATTTGTACCACAGCCTGAGTTCTGAAAATTATATACCCAATGTAGGATTTAAAGTAGCCTACTGTATATGATGTTTAAAAAAAAATACATATAAAGCATTTATAAATTTAATTTTGTTATTATAGAGTATTCAAAATCCTTATTCTCTGTTTTTAAAATTGTATCGTGTAAATTAAGGAGGAGGAGAAGCAGTCATCCACTACATCAATTTAATTATAAGTTTATGTTTTGTGTGTTGTAAAATATCCAACTTTTTATTGTAGAAAATATTAAACATATAAAAGAAGACAAGCTTGTACAGTACATCCCATTTATCCATCATCCCATATTCAGTGGTTTTCAGCTCTTAGTCAGACCCATTTCATTTATTCCCCACCACTTCTCCCTATATTGTTTTAAAGCACATTCATGGTATTTCCTTATGTGTATCTCTCAAATATAAGGACCCTTAAAAATAGCCATAATGTTATGACATTGAAAAAACAAATTATTCTTTAATGTCATCAGATATTGTGCACATTTTTAATAGTTTGAGTTAGAATCCAAGTAAGAGTCATACATTGTATTTGGTTATGTCTCTTAAGTTCCCTTTAATCTTAAATCCCTTTAAATCTGTAGATCTTTTTTCTCTCTGTCTCTCTCTCTCTTCGTTTCCTCAAATTTTATTTGTTGAAGAAACTGGGTCATATATCTTTGTTGGATGGGAGCCTCTTCAGCTTACCATCTTAGTCCTTTAGACACAGCACTTGTAATCATTCCTAGCTTCTTTGCTCTCTAGTATAGGATGTTCCAGTCTCCTCTTAATGCATTTTCTGCCTCAGATCTGGAGCCAACCATTTTTTTTAAAAGTGCCCTGATTCCTTTTACACATGCATATACATATATTGATACATGCACAGACATATGTTGTTGTTGTTGTTTTTTTTTTAAAGGTGACAGGTAAGGGGATCTTAACCCTTGACTTGGTGTTGTCAACACCACCCTCTCCCAAGTGAGCTAACAGGCCATCCCTATATAGGGATCCGAGCCTGTGGCCTTAGTGCTATCAGCACCACACTCTCCCAAGTGAGCCACGGGCTGGCCCCCATATGTTATTTTTTATATGGGTGTATGTGTATATATAGTTTTTTGAAGATAAAATATCTCATGAGTTTGTACTGATGATACTAATTGAAAATAAAGACCACAAGGACACTCAAACCTCCTTTCTCAGACATTTAGAGTCCCTGTTGTCAATGACACTAGGAATATTAGAATTAGAAAATAAATTATTTATTTGCTTTGGGTGTGTGTGTGTATGTTTTGTTCTTTGGATATTTTCTAATTAAGATGTATGGTCCAATTACTGTATTTTAATATAAGTTGGAATAATTCCTCTCTGTGATTCAATTATGCACTAATTGAATATACATGTAAGGTCATTTGTTTTATTTTACTTTAGATATTTAGGAAATACTTTTTAAATTTGGGTTTTGTTTTATAATTATTTAAATAATTGCATAGTTTAAAATCAAATCTACAAAACAAATCTAGTTTTTATCTCTGTCTCCTTCACTCTGTTTTGTCCTTCTCTGTCATAGGTAACATTTTGTTTTAATTTTGTTACTTATTCTTCTATTGTTTAATTTAATAAAAGCATAGACACACACACAGATACAGGTGTGTGTGTGTGCACTTATTCATGTCCTCCTGCCTGTTGACCTCAGGTGACATTCCCAGAATGTGTCAGGTGGATGACAATCGAATTTGACCCTCTGTGTGGTACTGCCCAGTCAGAAGATGTCCTTCGTTTGTTAATTCCTGTCAGAACTGTTCAGAGTTCAGGATATGGACCAAAATTGACATCTGTTCATGAAAATCTTAATTCATGGATAGAATTAAAGAAATTTTCAGGATCCACTGGATGGCCTACTATGGTTTTAGTGTTGCCAGGTGAGTTTTTTCTCTTCTGTTTTATATGGCAAAAAATATGTATTTATGTATATTTAGTAAGGATGTGTCAATGAAAATGTTTATTTGATTTTTAGAGGAGTTTATTAAGGACCTATTATGTATCTAGATTGCAATTGAAGAATAAATAAGATGCCCTGGGCAAGGGGCAAGCATGATCTGAGTTTTGGAGAAAGAATATTTTGAGGCTTTTGTGAAGAAAGATTAGCTTGGCAAAGCAGAGTGCTAATACCAAGGAATGCGTAACTGTGTAGTTGGGACCAAACTGTAGAAAAAATGGGTTCGATTTTTTATTTTCCAAGAAAGTGCTAAATTCTCAAAACTTAATCCTTTCATTTCAGGAGAATTCCCTAACCACCATCTGATCAGTGTTAAAGCCATTGTTTTAGTTGGCTTGAGAGGGTGGGGGTGTGTGTGTGTGTGTGTGTGTGTGTGTGTGTGTGTTCGTGCTTGAGCACGTTATTGCTGATACTCATGTTCTCCTTTAAAAGAAAGTTAAGTTTTTAAAACTATGTGTTGTTGTGTTTTTAACCAATTAACTATAACTACTCTTGTGATCCTTCAAATTAATAGCCAGTTTGAATTCAGAAATGTCTTCCTTCTATTCTGAACTGCTTCTGTTTGTTTGTAAAAAAAAAAAAAAAGAAAAAAAAAGATTAGATAATGGTAAATGCTAGGGGAGAGGATTGCCCACTTTGAAGGAGAAAAGGCTAACCTAGGTTACCTATGTAATTGGCAGATATTTGGAAAATGATTACCTGTGTAACTTAAAGGTAGGATATTTGATTAAGGAGGAAAATTTGATGTTAAAGAAAAATAGCAGCAATTCACTCGGGATCATCTTATTGTTTCTAGTAGTGTTTTTAGCACAGTTTGCTCATGTAGATAATAGGAATCCCCTCAGAAAGTCTATTTATGTTATTTAGTATCTGATTTGTATTGCTACCTTTCTTGAAATGGATAAAAGATAGGGAAACTTCAGTAAAGTCATTTTAAATTTTGAACTCAGTTCTGGCTTTTTTTTCCTTAGGAAATGAGGCCCTTTTTTCATTGGAGACTGCCTCAGATTATGTGAAAGATGACAAAGCTTCTTTCTATGGCTTCAAGTGTTTTGCAATTGGCTATGAATTTAGCCCTGGACCTGATGAAGTAAGAATGAATTTTCTTTTCATTATGTTGAGGAAGATTTTGTTTCTAAGGCTGCTATTGGCTTAATTTGTATTGTTGCCTATGTTCAAAAAGTCTGAAATTTATTTTAAGCTAGGGGTATATAATTTAAAATATTTTGTAGTTTAATTGGGTACAGTGGTCTGTTTTTGCTACTCAGTACATGAAGAGTTTGTGCAGTATGACCCAGACTTTGAAGAGTTTGTGCAATATAACCCAGACTTTGAAATACAATTATGCCTGCCCTGAACCTGCTGTGGTGGCTGTACCTTTCTGAGTAAATAATGGAACCTGATTTTACAAAGGGACTAATTTACTGTCATCTTTTTTAAATGTTTTAAATCATAAAATAAAACAAAACCAAGTTCACAATTGACCATGTTCCTTCAAAGTAAGGACAAAAAAAACTGTAAACCTGAACCTTATAACCAGCATGAGATGGTACTGAATCTCTTTCGCTCTCAGTTTGACCATTAGCTAACAAATGCTTCCTTCTAATTTCAAAAGCAGTACTCGAATTCAAATCACATTTTGTTGATAATCCATGTTATCTTCCAAACATTTTTTAAAGCAGCAAATTTTATTCAATTCTACAGGGAGTCATTCAGTTGGAAAAAGAATTAGCCAATCTTGGTGGGGTTTGTGCAGCAGCTTTGATGAAAAAGGATCTAGCACTTCCTATTGGTAAGTCTGGTCAAGTACTAGGTGTTTGTTGATGATTTTAAAAAAATATTAAGGGTAGAATAATGTGTATTATAGAATGTCTGAAAATAGTTTTGCAAAATGAATTCCATAATGACATACATTCATGAGCAACAACTGCTTAATATATTGGTAGTTTGGGCTTTTTAAAATGGAAACTGAAGGTTATCTTTTGGTCTTTTTCTATTTACATGTACGTATGTACACATACTCTCTCCTTATGCATATATATTCTATGAGCCAGGTGCTGGATTAAGCACTGGATATACAGTATCGAACCAAAAGTTTGAGATAATTCTTTGCCGGGGACCAGCCCCAGCACAGAGATTGTAAAGGTACCCACTGGTAAGGGATCCCCCAAAAGGGAGGAAGGGCAGCATCGGCGATGGAGCGGACAGCAAACATACAGACTCAAAGGATCTGTTGAATGCTGGGACAACAAACACACAGACTCAAGGGATCTGCTGAATGCTGACAATTTATTGAAGCAAGCATCAGACTTTTATACTTTTCTTTCTTATTTGCTACATAATCATAAAATAATCAATGAACAATATCATAATATCTCTTTGTAAGTGACATATGTTCTTCCAGGCTGCAGAACTGTAAGGAAATGAATTTCTGCTGTTTAGTCACCATTGATGGCATTGTGGTATGGCAACTCAAGATGACTAATACAGATTTTGGTACCCATAAGACGGTTGCTGCTGCAAAAAATACCTAAGACTGGAAAAAGCTTCTGAACTGGGTAATGTGTAATAGCTGACAGCAGCCTGAGCTGACTAATATAAAGTAGAATTTTCCTTCAAATTATAAATAATTTTTCCATAATTCTGTTGACTGCAACTTCTACTTCTATTGTAAAACAAAAGATTGTACATTAACTCCTTCCAAGCAGCCAGGCCAAACTCTCAGGCACCAGACAAGACGAATGCCTACATAGGTTCGTTGTCCCCTTCTGGGCCCCACTGCCATAAGCCATCTCCTGAAAATCCATAATCATAAGTATCATTAGTATGATTAAATATTTTAGTATAATTTTGAATCCTACTTCCAAGTCTCCCAGAGCGATAGTTATGAGGCAGCAAAGAATAAAATAACAAGCACACAGAGCTCCAGAATATCAGGGTGGAACGCCGGCATCTTCTCCCACGATGAGGCCTTGCCATCATCCCTTCACGATGAGGCCCTGCAAACACCGTGTTTCATTAAAAGATCTTTATCAGGCTTAATCTTATGAGTGGGAGGCGCCCCCACAATTCTTAAATATCCTTGTGGAAATATCAAGTAGACAATTGAATATTCATTGTCTGGAGCTCAGGGGACAAGTCAATAGAAATGTCATTTGAACATAATTGTTATCTAAAGACATGGGACCATATGAAAGATGAGTCAGAGAATGTAGATGAGAAAGAGAAGATAGCCCAGGACTAAAGACTGGGACTTATAAAAAAACATCAAAGATGGACAGAACAGGAAGAGGAGGCCGCAAATAAGACTGCAAAAGAACAGCCAATGAAGTAGAAGAAAAACCAGCAGAGTGGATGTTCATGGGATATTTGCATGCTGCTGAGAAGATTAAAATCTATCATTGGATTTGAAAACTTGTAGGTTATTTATGTACTCAATTGGAAATATATTAGTAAAAAGAGAAATATAAGGCCTTTCAGAATAGATTGAGAGAGAATGGAAAGTGAGGAAGGGATGTCACATTGAATGTAGAACTCTTTAGAAGAGTTTTCGTGTGAAACAGAACAGAGAAATGAAGCAATGGCAGAAATGGTACCTCTTTATATAAAGCAAATTGGTATGATATATGAATTAATTTATTATCAAGAGGATAAAGATAAAAATAAAATGCTTAATAATACTATAATATTTATATGTGATTTAACATTTTATTTTAACAGTATTTGGAAAAAAAAGGCATTATTACTGTATTTCCCTAATTTTCACCTCCAAAAGTCCATCTATACTCCTCCCTCTGAAACTAACCTTCCCACTCAGTCCTTTCTTTCTTCCTTTCTTTTTTTCTCTATTCCCTTTTCTCTTCTTGGTCCCTTTCATTCTTCTTAGTTCCCTTGCTCCTACTTGGTATTGGTATATATGTCAGGAAATGAGACCTGTATTCTATTTATGTGATGAAAATTGGTAGCAACCTCTTTGAAGGAAATTTGTCAATAGCTGTTAAAATTTTACATGTATGTACTCTTTGACATAGCAGTTTTTTCATACATACTTGAACAAATGTATATTGTACAAAATATATATTGATGAATGGGTTAACATAGTGTTTGTGATTGTAAACCTAAAGGCAACAAACATGTGGCAGTTGGAAACTGGTTAAATAAGTAATGACACATCCTTGCAGTGAGAGTGTATGCAGCTATTAAAAAAAGTAGACCTGAATGGCCTGACAAAGAAAGATGTCCAAATTATATTAAGAGAGAAAAGCAAGATGCAGAAAAGGATTTCATTTTTGCGTACATTATCTTATATCTGTACAAATGTATGTGTGTTCATGTATGTGTAAATTGCCACACACATGTGTACGAATACATTTATGATTTGTACACAGAGTTTCTAGAGCAATACATAAGAAACTGTTGGTATTGGATATCTTTGGGAAGGAAGTGGCACTGGTTATAGTAGTAGAATTTTTCATTCTACATTTCTCTACAATTTGAGTATTTCCCCTTGAACAAGTATTGCTTTATTAGTAACATTTTGTAACTTAATTAAACTATCAAAGAAAAGTCAGTAAATAAAATGCGTTCTGTATTAGTCAATAAAGGAGAAAATGGCTAGAGGATACAGTCACTATCTTATGTTTTTCTGTGAGTTGCTGTTGTTTACTAAAGGTATAGCTCTTCTGTAAGGCAGCCAAAATATAAAAGCTCAGATGTGAAATAATTAGTTCTCTCCTTTTTTTATAAGAAAGTAAATACAGTACACTAAATTCAAAAGGTAAAACATTTATATGCATAAATGTAGTATATATCTTTTGCAAATTACCCAATGGATGCTTCTTGACTATTCCTGTGAGAATTATAACTTATATTTTCACTGAAGATATTTTATATTTTAAAACATAAGCCACTGGGATTTATTCAGAATGATTAATCTTTTCAATCTGAAATAGCAGAATTGCAAAAAGGTGTGATGAATGCAAAGGACTGGTAAGTTTAAGTATTAACACATTTTAGTAAAACTTCTCATTTGCACAACAGGTAATGAATTAGAGGAAGATCTTGAAATTCTTGAAGAGGCTGCATTGCAGGTATTGTTCCAAACATTGTAAAGATAAACTTTGTACATTAATCTAAAAGCAGTATTTTCACTCAGATCAGCCTCTTTTTTCTTGAAAATAGGGTTAATTCATGAAATACTTCATTCTAATGTTCTTCAGCAGTTATAGAGATAAATAACTCATAATTGCTCCCCTTGATGGGAGAGACCCATATGAACCCCTGCTATACTGTGTGGTGGCTATTAACTTTCAAGGTAGATAAAAATCCGTGGGAGAAGGAAGAGCAAACCAAGTGTCAGGGAAGGCTTTGTAGAGCATGAACATTTAAATTGCATTGCATCTTGAAAGAAGTTTATTTTACCAGGTAGAAGAAGGAGAAAGACATTTCACAAAGGAAATTGGAGGTGTATGGTTGTATTATAAATTTTGATAGGAACTAGCAAAAGGTGAGGTAGGTACATTTGGTCAGTTCAGACTGTGGTAGACTTATATGTCGTTTTAAGTGGTTGGAACCAGTTGTCTCTTGGCGGTTGGGAGCCATCAATTTGTTGCTTTTGTTGTTTGCTTGTATTTTTTTGTTTATTTATTTAGATATTACATAACTAACTCATTTTGCACTTAATAGAAATGCATGAGTTGTATATTTCAGTGAAGTGCTGTTTTGGATCTGTAATATTTCATTACTCAAAATTGCTGAGAGACAATTATATTGTTTTCTTACTTCATTAGTCTGAATTTATCTAGCTAGTTATTAAGATGGAAAAGACAGAATCCGTAGGCAGCAGTTTTCAAATTATAATACCTACTTAACCCAGACCAGAGATTCTGATGTACTGTTAATTGAGCACCAAAACATACTGTTTACTGAGACTGTCGATGGGAAAATTTTGCATATTGAAATGGTATGAAAATAGAAGAAAGGATGAGAGTCACTCAATAGGATAAGTTGTATCCAGACTGTAGGATTTTATGGATTTGTAAAATTCTCCAAGTACATTTTTTCCAGAACTAGGTTGATAACTTTTTGTTTGTTAGGTGAAAGCACTCTTTAAAAACCTACTATTTATTATTATATAAATATATCTCAAAAAATGAAGGACAGTTTATAGCCAAAAGAGAAAGGTTATATTCTTATAATGAAAGACTCTATTATGTCCTTAGAGTTTCCTCATTTCACTGTGGACCAGAGAACATTGAGCACACATATGGGACAAACTGATTTAGATCATACTTTTTTCTGTGCTATGTGAATGTAGTTAGTAGTAGTAATTCAAATAGTATATAAAGAGTATTTCATAGCTTACAATATCTTTAACATTATCTCTCTACTTTTATAGTTACACTTTGAGGTCAGTATTATGTCTTGTATCTTACAATTAACAATAACTGAAGTTCAGAGAATTATGTGACTTATCTAATTAATTGGGAAATAAAAACTAGTACCCAGGTCTCCTAATTTGTAGGGCTAGTGTTTTACGTTTTATTTATTTCCTGACATGACTTGATCAAAGCAGTAATAATAAAAAAAAACATTTATTTTGTGTTAACTTTATCAAGCGCTATTCTAAACATTTTGTGTATCTTTAACTGCTCTACAGCCCTGTGAATTAGAGACTTTTATCTCCATTTACAGATGAAAAAACTGAGGCATAGAGAACCTAGACAATTTGCCCAGGACCACACAATTGGGCTGGAATTTGACCTCTGATAGTTTTCTAACAAAAGTCCATGATTTTGACCACTGTGTTGTGATCACTGGGAGTCATGGCATTGTCAGTAATGTTAAGAAACTTCTGGGTTTTAAAAAGCCACTGGCTTTTGTGTTTGTTAAAAAAAAGTTAAATCTTAAGTTGTACCTTAAGGTACAAAAATAAAAAATTCAACAAACATTTAATAAACACTTAATATGTGTCAGGCAACATTCTAGTTAAGGAGAGCCATCAAGGAGGTCATATACTGTTTATCATTTCACAGATTATTATGGTATATGAAATTTCATTCAGTCCAGATATAAAGAGATCTTTATTGTGCTACTCTTCAAGGAAAAAAAAATGTCCCAAATTGCCTGTCTTTTGGCATGTAAGGTAGGTGTGATGGTCTAAGATGTATTAAACACGTACTGTTTTTTAGGCAGTGTTTTGTATATTTTATATGTGTTATTTAATATAAATTTTATAATAGCCATTTAAGAGAGATATTATTTGATCACCAGTGTGTATGTTTTATAGTTTCAGGGATGTTAACTTGGTAGCTCAAGAGCACATAGCAAGTAATTTATTCCAAGCCATTATTTGAACTCGTCTGTTTGATTCTAAAGATCATGATGTGTGAAACTGCATAGTTTATAGAATGCAGAAGTTATTGTTGTGTAAATTTGATTACTACTTGAAGTACAATCTTCTTACATGAAAAGTTTTTTTTTTTTTTTTTTTAGTTTTTATGTAGTCATTAAAAAGTTACTAGAGTTTAAGCATTTAAAGTAGTTCTTTTCAAAAACATTAGGCTTGCTTATCAGATACATGAAAACTAAAATTTCAGTTTTATCTGCCTCTGTTCTTGACTTTAATAAGGCTTGGACAGGCTAATGAGGTTTATGTGCAGCCACATTCAGGCTTCCACCCACTTTTTGCCCAAGTCAAGACTTTGGTACCCACCTATCCCAAAAAACATACACGACTTACTCATGATAGCTGCCAATAAGGGAGAATTAAAAAGAGGGAGATTTCCACAGCTACCTACAGAAGGAAGCTCTGGCACTGATGAATGGGATGTAACACATACAGGTCTGGTGTGGGAGGAGATGCACCAGTTTATCTAGCAGGCAGATCTCTGATAAGTTACTTACATTTGAGAGAGGAAAGAGACTGGAAGTAATATCCCATATTTTTCCCTCCTAGAAATTTTGTACTTTATGGGCTCAAAGCAGGAACATTGGGGTATAGGGAGAAAATTATTTCTCCTAGAAGGCCTATCTAAAATTGTGTGCACACTGTCATGGTTTCGGATCCCTGTATCAGCCAGCTGCCAAAAAAAATAAAATAAAATAAAAATTGTGTGCATGTTGAAAAAATTCATGCAGTTAAGTTTTATATTTTAAAATATATAAATATTCTTTTTTATCCAACAGGTGTGCAAAACTCATTCTGGTATTCTTGGAAAGGGGTTAGCTCTTTCTCATTCACCAACTATATTAGAAGCACTTGAAGGAAACTTACCACTTCAAATCCAAAGCAATGAACAGTCCTTTCTGGATGATTTTATTGCTTGTGTTCCAGGATCAAGTGGTGGAAGACTTGCCAGGTAATACACTTTAAGGACTCCAATTACTTTCTGTTAGGGATTTCCTCTGTCTTCATTTCTGATGAGAAATGAAAGGGGAGTCATTAGGATGTTAAAATTTAGCCTAAAATAATCTGGTTTATGTGCTTTGTACTTGCTGAAGTATAAAATAGTAGTGAATATTTTAAATTACTTTAAAATATATGATGGTTGTTAATTGATTACATTCTTGCTATTTGCTTTTTCTTTATGATGAGAAGAAAAAAAAATATTCTGGCCTTTATGGTTTTAGTAGAAAAATGAAAACCTAACTTCTTTCAGGTTTTAATTTTATAATTACAGAGATTACTCTTTGTTTTCAAAAACCAAAATAGTGATTGGATAGGTATAGCAAATTTTTTAAGTTAGCCTCACTGCTACTGTTTCAGACACTTGTATGTAATGCATGACAGAATTACTTATTACTCATCTCACAGGACAATTTGAATGTAGATCATGTAATGAATTCAATAATGGGTATCACAAACTATATAAAATTGACAAACTTTACATGGAAGGGAAGGTAATGAAGAAGGTAGTTGAAAAATTGTGTGAGAAACAGACGTACAGTAGACCTTGACCCTAGCTGCTCTTGGGCAAGTAGAATGCCACTTGTCACTACTTTTACAAGGAAGCTTCTCTTTCCCATGCTTTCAGGAAGGCAAATTAAGGCAGACCTCCCTCAGTAAGAATTAAGAGTGCTCAGGACTTCAAATTATATATAACCTAAATTAATTTTCTTGGTTACTTTTAATTAGCCATAGTTAAAATTTCAAGTTTCCTGATTTTACTATTATTTCCATATTGTACATAAACATCAGAAATCTCATGTGCTTTGGCATGTTTTTTAATGAATTTGTCATTAACTGTTTCTAGGGGAGACACTTGTGATTCTCACTGAATTGAAAATGAATATACTGTTTTAGCATTTTGTTTGTTACAAGTTTTGTTCATTTGGCTTTATTTCATGTTAATCATTGAAGAAGCTAATGAATGTTTGTTTTTTTGTTTTTCATTACCGTTAGGTGGCTTCAGCCAGATTCCTATGCTGATCCTCAGAAAACATCTTTGATCCTGAATAAGGATGATATTCGTTGTGGTTGGCCTACCACCATAACTGTGCAAACAAAAGACCAGTATGGGGATGTGGTACATGTTCCCAATATGAAGGTAATTATAACTGAATTAAATTAGGAGACAACTATACACTGACTACTGTAACTGATAAAATTTTAGAAATGGCAAGTTCTTAGAGTCCATTTATCCTTCCCTCTTTATATGTAATGGGGGATGCTGAAAATTTGTTTAAATAACCTATTTATATTACTTAGTCCCCAATTTTCCAAGTTACATGTTTGTTTTTTACATTTTGTTACATGCTACATTGATTCAAAGGAAGGATAAGAAAGTGCCCATAAAACATGTGCTAAGCACATGAGAGAAGGTCCTCAATACATAGTGACTAAAATAATTCACAAATGAAAGAATATACTCACAAATTTTGTATGTATTTTTAAGACTAAAGAACATTCTGCATTTGTTATTATTGAAACTGCATTTTAAAAATAATGTTGATACTTATTAAATAAATTAGAAATATATGAATTTGAATTGTAGAAGAAAGGAATATAAATAGTTGTGTATGTATTGATGAATATAGAATTATTTGGATACCTCTTACTTGAAACAATAATGACATTTTAAAGCATACTGTAATACATATAATTAAGTCCTTTGTGATATAATCAGTTAATGTAAATATCTCATTTAAAACTTTTATTGTATTTCTGAAAAAAACAATATCGAATGAAAATTTGTATAGGCAGTCCCCAGTCCTCTCCCCGTCCAAAGTTATATTACAAAGTGACTTGGTTATTTGAGGTTTAGAGTTCATTAAGCCACAATATCCTTTTTTGCTCACAGAGTGGCTAATTTTACCTCATTGTTACTTTTAGTATAATTCTTTCAACTGCTTCATGTATTCTTTGATTTATAGCATGAAGAAGCACAATGCCATTGTAACCTCTTACCTGACTCAGTAAAAACTAAGAACACATTCTTCACATGACTTAAGACCAGTGAAGAAAACTGTATGGAAAAGCATTTTACCCTGATACTAAAAAAAAAAAAAAAAGTCTTCAGCAGTGCCTTTCAAATTTTTGGCCATGACCCACAGTAAGAATTTGCATCATGGGCCGGCCCGGTGGCGCACTGGATAGTGCGCCACTTGGGAAGCGCGGCGGCGCTCCCGCCCGAGGGTTCGGATCCCGCATCCGGACCGGTTCCCGCTCACTGGCTGAGCGAGGCGCGGGGGCAGCGCCGAGGGTTGCGATCCCATTGCCGGTCCCCGGTCCGGTGCAGGGTCAACACTGAGGGTTGCGATCCGTTGCCAGACACGGAAAAAGACAAAAAGACAAAAAAAAAAAAAAAAAGAATTTGCATCATGACCCAAACATACAAATATATGATGGAATAGTGTATACTGTATATTACACACACACACATGCACACAATAGACCATACTCTGATATTTTCTTTTCTATCTTATTTTTCTAAGGCAGGTCATACCTACACCAAAGTAATTTCGTGCCCACTCTAAATTACTCTATGAAATGCAAAAAGCATCATAAATTATAATAAAAAAATTGAATAGTTTTTAATAATACTTTATAATCCTGATAATTATACCAAAAAATGACTCTACCCAAGGGCAGAATTTTTATCACAATACAATATGCATTAGTATATTCAGGGGCTTCTGTATTGTGTATTCACTGATGAATTTCACATTCGAGTGTATGTAGTGAGCTCTTAAATACAGTCTTTAAGCCAACAAGATTAAGTTCCTTCTTCATGTGACTACATTGTAATATCATTTTCCAGGTTAGCATAACATTTAATTTCTTTTTAATGTTCATACTATTGTGCTTATAGTATTTCTTCAGTCGTATTTTCTTTCTTATGTTTTCTCCTTTTCACCTTTTGTCTCTGTTTTGATATCTGTGCTTTTGTATCTTGCATTTCAAAATCAGACTTTCTGCTTTATCTTTTTTCTCCCCCTTTGTGTTCTTTTTTAAACCATATAATCTATCGTTCTTCCTTTCTTTGCCTTTGCTCTCTTTCTTCCCCTCCTTTCTTTCTCCTATATATATTTGCTTCTCTTCTGTGTCCTTCTTTGCCTTAAACCTCTTCCTCAGTGTTCTCAAACTCCATATCAGATTTCTCTCTAATTTAGAAACTGTATCTAGAAAACTTTTCTAAACACTACTTAAGGGAAGTGATTTGTGTATTTATTGATGTTTAATTTCTTAATACTACATTATCATATTAGCTAAAAACAAAATTAATCTGCTTTACTTTTAGCCTGATAGACAGCATATGAAGTCTTAGGAGCATTTTAGACCTAGCTCTCAGAAATTTTTAAAATCTTTATGTAGTTATAGCTAATTTTTCACACATAAAAGTTGATTGGCAGTTAATATTTTAGTGACTTTCAAATGCTTTTTAAAGCAGCAAGTGTTATTGTTACGTTTTTTTTTTTTTCTTTTTTTCTTTTTTTTTTTTTCACACATAAAAGTTGATTGGCAGTTAATATTTTAGTGACTTTCAAATGCTTTTTAAAGCAGCAAGTGTTATTGTTACGTTTTTTTTTTTTTCCTTTTTGTCTTTTTTTGTGTCCGGCAATGGATCGCAACCCTCAGTGTCGCGCCCGTACCGGACTGGGACCGGCAACGGGATCGCAAACCTCGGTGCTGCACCCGCACCTCGCTCAGCCAGTGAGCGGGAACCGGTCTTTATGTGGGATCCGAACCCTCGGCAGGAGCGCCGCGCACTGTAGCAGTGCGCCACCGGGCCGGCCCATTGTTACGTTTTTTTAAATTTATAAAATGAAATTAATTTGTGACCAGAAAAAGTCATGTAGGAAAGAAAAAAATAACAAATTCCTTTAAGAAGCAAAGTTTATGAAAGAAAGCAGAATGGTTGTCAACCTATAAAATCTCAGTATTTTTAGAGTATAAAATTATTCAGTGATTTACTTCAAGACTCATTGTATCATAGGCAAATGTACTTCTAATGTTAATGTACTAAGAGTAAACATGGTTTTTTATAGAAAGATTAAACCAAAATGGTTTGTATAAAAATACTGTCTATAATTTAAAATCAAATGTCCTAAAATTTGAAAGCAGTTACTTTTTTCTTTGTATTACATTTAAACTTTAAAGCTTTCACTGGTGGCAAATGTATCTGAGTTGAAGAATTTTATCACATACCTTAAAACTGCTGTTTTTTAAATATAAGAATGGGTTTGTAAGATTTCCAGGGCATTATGTTAGTCCAAATATTGACCTTTTGTAACCCAAACTGAAGGTTATGGTTATTTAATGGAACGCATTTGTCCACTGTACTTTATGTAGACAGCAAGAGTCTCAAACTACTGACTCCCTAGAATGGCATTATCGGGCTGGCTGGTTAGCTCACTTGGTTAGAGTGTGGTGTTGACAATACTAACGTCAAGGGTTCTAATCCCCATAGTGGCCAGCCACCCCACCCCACAAAGAAAGAATGGCATTATTAATAAGAACAATAAACATTAAAGACATTCTGCAGTTCTGAGATGTCCCTTGATTACTTAAGTAATTCTGTCACTGTCATTTATGTTACCTTTTCTATTTCTGTGAAGGTCCTATTTTTGAATTTTCTGTTCGTGCGACAATAAATGTAGTGTCTGTAAGGAACAGGGAAAACTGAATGAAGAGCTAATGAGTGTTCAAATTGTTTGTAAATTTATTGTTGTCTGGGGGTCAGTGTTTTTCTTTGTCAATTCATAAACAATATTCAGTATTTTAACATGCCTTAATAAATCTGTTCTTTGCATCTACATAGTAGAATAAGTAGATGAAAGATATTTCTATTTTATTGTTAAAGAAACTGAATTGCAAAGTTTAGACTGCTTAAATCAAATGGCTTATGTTGGTGACAGCTGTGTAATAATACTTTTTCTTCATTATGGTAAAGAAACATCTGTTGGTGTTAGGTATAAGATTTGTTTTATTTTGTACTAATTTTTAAGACTTCTCTAAATGGAGTACATTTTCTTTTGTGGAACAGTAGAGCTGAAATTGAGATTAGTGCTTTAAAATATATTGAGATTGTGGAAAAAATATACTTGAATTGCCTAATAAAATAAGTTAATATTAGTCCCTGCAATGATTCAATGTAGATTTATTCTATCCTTTCCTGCACTTTGTTAATGGTGGTATTTATTTTTATTTTTATTTTTATTTTAATATCTGTGCTTATCGATTCCAGAAAATGAGGCCTCTGTTTGACTCTGTGTTCAGGGTCCATATTGTGAACTCAACTTGAGGCTATTCTGGCTCTGTTAACTAAGGCTTTGAAAGTAGTGCCCGAGATAGACCAATGCTAACATAACATTTATATAGTTGTGAGTCCATAATTGTAAGATGCTTCTTTTGATGTGTCAAGGATGATTATATAATAATAGTATTTGGTTTTTATAATGTCATGATGGTTAGGTGGAAGTGAAAGCCGTCCCTGTGTCTCAGAAAAAAACATCTTTACAGCAAGAGCAAGTAAAGAAACCTCAGAGGATTCCTGGCAGTCCTGCAGTAACAGCTGCATCTTCTAATGCTGACATGACTTTTGGCGGGCTGGCATCACCAAAGCTGGATGTTTCATATGAACCAATGATAGTGAAGGAGGCTCGATATATTGCCATAACCATGATGAAGGTAATTTATTTTAGTCATCAGAAAAATTTTATTTTTCACCATTTATTTACTTAACAAACATTTCAGGGATTCAAATGCAGACACAAAATTACAAGTCTAGATAGCTGTTGATAGATATAAAACGTGCAGCGTATTTTTTAAGGTGATGTTATCTTCCTCCAGAGAGAATTTTTTATTGGTTTTGTTAGAGGTCTAGTGGAGATTACCAATTATAGATCATTTTAATTGGAATGTTTTGGAGATTACCAATTATAGATCATTTTAATTGGAATGTTTCCTGTCTAATGATTTGAAAGTCATTACTGGTATCTTTCTTAAAGGTTTATGAAAACTACTCATTTGAAGAACTACGTTTTGCGTCACCAACTCCTAAGAGGTAAGGATCATCTTCTCAAAGCATAGCCAAAATGTGTTGTCGGCTGCTTGCACTAAAATTGTTCTGTATTCCAACTTTATTTTCCCTACTTAAATATTTTATAGCATTTTTTAAGTTTTCAGTAGGATTTTCCATGTACAATAATGTGCAGATTTACAGGTAGAATGTATTTAATTCAAGTGTAATACTGGCAATATGTTACATAATACTAAAGTACTGGAGAAAAATAACTGGTATATAAAAGTAGATAATTTGGAATGGTTAGGGTTAGTTAGTTTGTTTTTTCTGTTTGATATTTGCTACTTTAAAATTATTCCTTTTTTCCTTCCTCCATTGAGTTGAGAGATTTCAATGTGGTATGTACTTGCCTTTGGTTCATGTCTTAATTTTTCAACCCACAAGTAATTCTGTTAACACCAGATTTAAGGAAATTTTTTGAGTTAGTATTTTATTTATTTGTTAAAAGTACTTTTTAGAATAGACACTTGTAAAAAATAATTAGGTACATTGTACTTTGGAGAGATCACCTCCGTAGCATTTAGAAAAAGCTCTGAGTGAATTTGAAAAAGCAGAATTACTTGCAGGTTTCATTGTATCACATCACATGACTTACTAGAAATTGACAGATTACTTTGATTTATTCTTATATGTATGCACAGAAGAGTTGTAACAATGTAGAACGTTTTCTGTCAAAAGCAAAGTTTTGAGAATGTGTATTTGGGAATAGGAAAGTAGTATTTTGTCTCTGGCTTAATTATAGTTCAAAATTTCCAGTATGGTAGAAGAATATAATTTTTATAAAATTAATGTGAACAGTATAAAATTATAACATGTCATATGAGAACAAATCGACCATTTGCACATTTTAAACCGAATTAAAATAGCCTCTTGTCTAAGCAAATTTATTTATTCATTCAGCAAACACTTAAGCCTCTGCGATATGGAAGGTACTGTTGCAGGCTCTGTAGTACATTTATGAACAAGATAGACACGGTGCTGGTTCTTGTGGCATTTACATTCCTACAGAGAAACAAACTGTCAATAAGTAAACAAAATGGTAATAATAAATAAGGTTTATAGTCTGGCTGCTCTCTGGAGAGTGAATTATAGGGGAGCAAGAATGGGAATAGAGAGATGAGTTAGACTGTTAGGTGGCTTGGACTAGGGGTGGAAGGGAGTTAGCAATGGAAGTGTAGAGGTGTGGATAGATTGGGGATACACCTAGAACATAGAGCCAACAGGCCTTGCTGCTTGAATGGAAGTAGGAGGAGAAAGAAAGACAAAAATTAAGAATGATCAGAGATTTCTTTGGCTTCAGCAGCAGTATAGGGTTGGCATGCAGACCAAATTTGGCCTGCTGCCTATCTTCATAAATAAAGTTTTATTAGAACACAGCCTTGCCCTAACTTTATGAGCTGTGGTTGTTTTTACACTACAACAGTAATGTTAAGTAGTTAAGTAGTTGTAACAAAGACTTTTTGGCCCAATAGACTAAAATATCATTACAGAAAATGTTTACTGACCCCTGATGTAGATTGTCATGATTTTTATGAGGATCAAGAAGTCTGAACCCCAAGGTCAAAGGTTTGGATTCCTGTACCGGCCAGCTGCCCTCCCCTCTCTCCTCACACCTCCCTGCCAAAACGTCTGAAGAACAAGCAGGTGTTTTTTGTCCTGCTTTGTTTTTTAAGATGGGGGATGGGAGATAAGAGTTTTTCTTTGGATATGTTAAATTTGGGATGCCAAGGTACTTGTCAGTTATTCACAATGCCAACTAAGCAACTTTAAATATCCATTTGAAACTCATGTCAAATAAATTTGACATTAACCTATATAGAGATGATATTTAAAACTGAGGAATGGATAAATCAACCAGAAAGATGGTGTGGAGAGAAAAATAAAGACCTAGACCCAAATCCTGGGGCATTCCATAAGTTAAAGGGTGGTCAGAAAGGGAGAGCCAACAGAACACTGTGAAAGAATGGCTAGTGAGGTAAGAGAAAAAACAGGAAAAGTTCACAGAAGTGAAAAGAAGGAGGAAGTATTTCAAGAAAGTAAGAGCTGTCAATTATCAAATACTACAGAGAGATTGCTGAGGACGAAGAAATGACTGTTGAATTTGGGGATGTGGTAGTTATTGGTGACTTTGACGTCAACAATAGTAATGATGTTGTAGAAACAGACTTGGCAAGGAAGTGTTGAACACTCAGAGGGTTGGAGAGTCAGGAGTTTATTACGCCTGGGGTCCCAACAAGCTACTGCCTGAAAAATCTGGATCCACAGCTCAGGTCTCACAAGGTTTTTATAAGCAAACTCTTCCAGAGCTTTTTTACATTTTTTTTTTCTCTTTTCTCAGCATTCACTAGGCTAGCATATGTGGGCTGTGCAGATAAGTGAGCTTACAGAGCCAAAAATTCAAGCAGTGATTAATAGCCAGACTAGTGGAGCAAGAAAATATAGTTTCAAGGACAAGATATTACTTCAAGAACAAAGCAGGCTTATGAGAAAATTATTTCAGACTACTGGAGCAAGCAAATATAGTTTCAAGGACAAAACAGACTTATGAGAAAGTTACTTTTGCATTTTTTTCCCAGCAATGAAATGTTCAGAACAAAAGCCTAGTTAAGGATAAATTGTGGAAGAGAAGTAGAAACGAAAAAATGGAGGGGGTGGTTTGTAGACAATTCTTTAAATAACTTCTGATGTAAATGGGAGTAGAGATATGAGACCTTATTAGAGGGAGCTGTAATATCAAGGGGAGGTGTTTGTTAAGATGGGAGATTCTAAAGTTTGTTCGTAAGATAATGAAAATGATCCAGTAAAGTGGGGAAATTGACAGTGCATGAGAGAGAACAAGTGATTGAAGCATGAAAGTTTTGAGGAAATAAGATTCACAGAACAAGTAGGGGGGCTGGCATCGGATAAGATCCAGGATGCTTCTTCCATTGTAGCAGGAAAGAAGGCAGAAGAAGGTAGGTTTATTAATCTTATTACAACTTTGAGGTTGTATCTCATTTTTTGTTTTCCCACTGAAGAAAGAAGTGAGGTCATCATAGCTGAAAATAAGAAAGGGGGGGTGGGGGGTGGAAGCTCCAGGAGAGGAAGGAGAGGAATTCAGTCATTTTGGAAAGTGGGAAAACATATGGCAGGGCAGTAGGATTGCCAGGCAGTATGATAATACAAACAAATTAAATGTTTACTGAAATATCATAATGATGTCAGCTTAATCAGAAGTAAAGTTTCTGCTGTCCATCTTATTTCCTTTCAGACCCAGTGAGAACATGCTGATCCGTGTCAATAATGATGGCACTTACTGTGCAAATTGGACTCCAGGGGCTATAGGACTCTACACTATTCATGTTACCATTGATGGCATTGAAATAGGTAATTTTTTTTTGTTTTTTTAAGTTATGAATTACTTAGTGAAAAGAACTAGAATCAAAATCATATTTTTGTTCATCTTTTGCCCTTTAACTTGTATCATACATATGCACAGGTTTCATAATTTATTTGAGGCTTCATTTTCTCCTTTGTAATGAGTACTTAATTAGCATAGTCCCAAGATCTTAACATTTTGTAGCAATTCAGGTGTCTGCTCAGCCATTGTAGCCCTCATGGCGCCTTCCCTCCATTCCCTAATGTGACCGGTCAGGTGTATGGTCTCCATGCTGCTGTATTACCCTGTGCATACCTTATCTCCTCCTCATGGTGTGTGTCTTCCTCTCCTGGCTGTGAGCACTGTGAGCAGAGACTTCTCATTTGTCTTTGGATCTCCCAGTCTGGCTCAGTACTTGGCACATAATGGCTGCTCAATAAATGTTGGTGAATGAATGAATTTTCTTTATCTACCATTAACTTTGAAAAACATACTGCTTTTCCTTTGGACATTATTCTTTCTTTTCTTTACTTTTAAACTATCTGTGTAATAGGATATCAACAGAATGAGAAAACTCTGGTAAGTTTTTGCCAACGTGAATTCCTTATAACGCTATCCTTCCCAAAGGTCCTCAAGGAAAAGGGTTTCTATGATAAGATAGGTTTAGAAAGCTTAGTATGTTATAGTCTCTCCTGAGACATTCATACAATCTGTATTAACATATTAAGGATTCTGAGAAGTTCTGAAATTAAGAATATTGCCTAACTTTGTTTAAGCCTTATCATGGGACCCCTTGTGTGTAGGAAGGGAAGAGACAGGGTAGAGATAGAAGTAATACTTATTAACATTCCACCAAAGTACCCTGCTTTAAATAGTTTGTTTTTGCAGTGGAGGTAAAGAGGTACTTTACACTGATATAACTTTATATTCTTATACACTAATATAACAGTATAGAATCAGATATATCAAATTCATCTATACCATTCCAGAGACCTCTATCCACAGTTTTTGCTGCACCCCTCTTTATTTCAGCATATCCATAAAGCCTTTAGTTTTTTAAAACCAAGTATTTTTTGGTTTTGAGCAAAACATTGTCCTAGATAAGGCTGTTGCCGTCAAGTGTTAACAATTTACTGAAGATTGCTAAGATAGAACAGACAAACAAAAATCATAGAAAGTAAAATGTAAGTAGTGGCTCACAGAGGTACAGATTATTGCAGGAATTCAAAAGCAGAGAAAGCAGAGGTAGTCGAGAATGACTTTATGAAGAGATTTTTTTTTTTTTCTCCAAATGTACTGGTAAAATTTCAGTAGGCAGAGTGAGTTTTTTAATCATTTTATCTGATAGTGGGGTAAAGGAAACTGATACAAAGTAGATAAGAAAAATCCACTTATATTCATTTTTTGGAATGAAGCTCTAAGAAAGAGATTAATGTTTACTTAGGATCATTCATTTTCTCCCCTACTCAACTTCTCTTCTTCCTAACTCAACTTGCTCCCAAACCGTCAGTAGGCTAGGAATTTGCTTGACCATAAACAAGGACAGACAATAATTCATTAAGATAATGATGGTTATGATAATAGCTAACATTTATTAGCACTTAATATTTATCCAACATTGTTCTATGCATACTTTATATATTTTAAGTCATTTAATTTTCACAACAGTTCAGTAAGGTAGGTGCTATTATCATTCCCATTTTAGAGATGAAAAAACTGAGGCACAGAGAATCAAACAGTTAGAGGCAGATGTGGGAGCACCCAGGGTGGTCTAACATGAGAACCTCAGCTTTTATAACCACGGTACTGCTTATCAGTCATGAAGATGACTGGTATATGATGACAGTGTTCTGATCTGATGTTGTCAGATAATGTTTAATCACACTACGGTTTCCTTTTTTATTATTTTGAGGTTTTTCAGCATCATATTATAAGTTCTAGTTAAAGAATGTGAGCTCCTTCATTTTTTTGAAACCCTAAGATACTCCTTCAGAACCACGGGGACATTTTTTCAAATACTGCTCTTTTTTTAGCCTGTTAAATATCAATGTCTTTAAAAGAACAGAATTCTGATATTTGTTTTAGTTGTTTAAAATAGCCTGTCAAGGTGTATAAGGTTGAGTTTAAGGATCCTCCCTCTCTTCTAAAATGTTATACTTCTCATCTTTTTCTTACAGATGCTGGCCTAGAAGTAAAAGTAAAAGATCCCCCAAAAGGGATGATTCCACCGGGAACTCAGCTGATCAAACCAAAAACTGAACCGCAGCCAAATAAGGTTAGGGATTAAAAATCACACCCTGAATCATTCATTGAAAAATTTTTAAGTTTTTTTCATTGATACTTCAAAATAGCCATCAAACATCTAATATTTTACTTTATTTTAGGATTTGAATTCTAAATATCCCTAAATAAATTTGGAGAATAGTTCATGGTAATTTTAATATTTCTAAATTATAGCACTTTTTTTGGCTTCTTTCTGTAATGCTATAGTAATTTATACATGTTGTATACTTTCTGTTATTGAAAGTGTGATACAATTAACAACAAGTCGGGGCCGGCCCGGTGGCGCACTGCTACAGTGCGCCGCTTGGGAGCACGGCGGCGCTCCCGCAGAGGGTTCGGATCCCACATACAGACCGGCCACTCACTGGCTGAGCGAGGTGTGGGCGCAACACCGAGGGTTGCGATCCCGTTGCCGGTCCCGGTCCAGTACGGGCGCGACACTGAGGGTTGCAATCCGTTGCCGGACCGAGGGTTGCGATCCCGTTCCCGGTCCCGGTCCGGTACGGGCGCGACACTGAGGGTTGCGATCCATTGCCGGTCACGAAAAAAGACAAAAAGGTAAAAAAAAAAAAAACAAGTCTACTGAAATTAGGTGAAAAGTTTGCAAGGTTAAAATATCGTAAGCTGTTAAAGGAAAAATTAATTTCCAAAATCTAAAGCGAAAGTACAGGAATTTTGGTGACCTGTTTATTAAAAAGGAAACATTGATAATGGAATTTATATCAGACTTTTCTTAAAGGAAGAAAATGCCGTTTATCCTTTTTAACATATGTCTTCAAAATTTAGACAGGAAATTATAAATATATAAATAATTTTCTAAGTTTTTTTAGTAATATCCATTTTAATACTTATAAAAGTTCTATTGTTATTGATAAGCCACTATTACTTGGGAATACAAGTAATATGAGGGAAAACAGCTACAAATAATTTTGGAAATGTTCTCGGAATTATAGTACTTTCAAATCTTTTAATTTTATCTCTTACTACTTATAAGATCTCTGTTCCATGTTTTTCGTGTCTCACTGGCTGTCTTTGTCTTTCTCAGGTTCGAAAATTTGTGGCCAACGATAGTGCAGGGCTCCGTATCCGGAGCCACCCTTCTCTTCAGAGTGAGCAGATAGGCATAGTGAAAGTCAATGGAACTATCACTTTTATTGATGAGGTAATTTATAAAGAAACTCTTGGTAATAAATTTTGCATAGAAAGTTTTTGTATTGTTTGCACAATAATATTGCTAAGTTTTCTATTAGTATATGTTATAAGCAGTTAGGGAAATGTTTTGAAAATTGTTTTATAGAATGTGTTCTTTGAGTTTCAAACATTTCACTTATTCTTTATCAATTAAAAAAAAGTGAAATTTTATTTGAACGTGAAAAGAAGTCAGGTAAACATAGTATTCAGAGTCTGTACAAGAAATCATTGAAATTGAGTGCAGTTTTTCACGAGCTTTTAAAATGTGTTTTTAAATGTGTTACTTGTATTGCTTTAACTTTGGACAGTGCAGTTTTTTTTAGTAATACAACCAAGTAACTTTTCATTATTAAAATCTAAACTTAGGGGAAGGAAGACTTGTTTTCTTTTGAGAAACATCTGATTTTGCTATTTAAACTATTTATCTTAAAGTGTGAATTCCTTATGCTTTTACTCAGAAGTGAAATTGTTTTTACAACCTTACCATGTGAGTTATCGTATTGCTTTGCCATTCTTTGCTGGTTTTCTCCTAGAGGTTCTTTCAGATTTACCTTATGCAAAAACTAGATGTTTAATCTCCATGTCCACCATTATTTGCCTGCTTTGCAGTCTTTCAGCCCTTGCTAGCCTCATAGGAGAAAATGGCTTGTTTTTGTTACTTATTTCCCGTAGATCCACAATGATGATGGTGTGTGGCTGAGGCTGAATGATGAGACAATAAAAAAGTATGTTCCTAACATGAATGGTTATACTGAAGCCTGGTGCCTCTCTTTTAATCAGCATCTTGGCAAGAGTCTTCTGGTCCCTGTTGATGTAAGTAAAAGGTGGTTTTAGAAAGCATTATAGGTACATTGTATCCTCATTACAGGGCTTTCTTTAATTAAGGCTTTTCAGTTCTGAGGTAACCCACAACTAACTAACTTTTACTTTATAAGTGCTTGAATTCTTAAGGGCTTATAAAAGTGGAGTTTGGCAAGGATAAGGCCCTTAATGCTTATTATGATCCATCATAGGCAGGAAGTAGTAAATTAAAGCTAGGTCTACTGAATTTCATTCAAAGAGGTAGAGAATGAGAGTTGTTGCATTTTTCCCCCTTTCTTATTTATTTTACTGTTAGTAATGAATTCATAAAATTTATAAATTCAGAATTATTATATATTCAAAAACGTATAAATGTATATTACGTTGGCATTTTGTAATTAGTTCTGTGTGTTTTGTCTAAGTTTGAATCTTATCTTTCTTGGCTTATAATACTGTTATGTTAATTTAGGGTGAATTTTTAGACTTGTGGTGGTGGTATATATTCTAGTTGAAGCTAAATCCTAGTCTTTGAGAGAATTCATTGAATATCTTTGATAAATGCAGTAGCATAGTTGGAGCCAGTGTTCAAAGGATTGCTATATCACAAAATATGATAGTAACTCAAACTTTTTATAATTTAACCGGAAAAGTTATACTTTTTTTCCTTTTTTATCACCATCAAATGTATGCGCTCCTATGACACTGCTAATAAATAGCACTAGTAAAATTTTATTTAAAAAAACAAAACCTTAGTATTTTAAATAGTCGAATTTCTTAAAAGTCAATGTATAAAGTTAGGTTATTGTATCAAACCATTGTTTTTCTCCTTGGTTGTCCAGAATACTGTTCTCCAAAGCTGTGGTTATTCACTATGATTCTTTGGGGAAGAAAATATTGGAACTTCTATTTATACTTATTGATCTCATTCTTTTTTATATTCTTTTGTTTATGTTTTATGATAGCGCAGTGGAGATTTTATACACACATACACACATGCACACCATAGATTTGTGATCAAGAAAATTTGGAGAGTGTTGGTCTACTGCTTTTCTGCAGTTAAGCTGAAGAAGGACAAATCTATAATTAAATTTTAAATAAAGAAATCAGATCTTAAATTTTCCTCAATGTTGTGCCTATGGTTAAAAATGAAAAGGATTTTGACTTTCTGGAAAAAAGAGACTATTCTGGAAGTGAAATAATTCTTTATCATCTGTTGCTAAAAAGTTGGCCTTAAATAGTTTGAAACAATTTTCCATTATAGTAACCAGATAGATATTCCTCAGGATTGTGAAAAGTGTATTATAAATGAGACAACTATAATAACCATTTGTATAGCATTTTTTGAGCAATTTAGACTTTCGTGTATTTTAAGAAAATTTTCTTAAGTCCCTAATAAAGTATTTTAATAGATTATACAATCTTTCCTACCTCCCCTACTCCAAAACTTTCTGATTCTGTTGCTCATTTGAGGAGACACGTTTGGAAGAAGAAGATATTCACATAGGTAAAGCAGAATACACAAGGGTAGAAAGGGAGAGCAAGAAGTGCTATCTGTTGAAGTTCTAAATCCATGATTTCATTTTGGAGCATTGGTGTCAAACCCCGTCCAAGGGACAGTTTATAATAGATGGTCTCCTTAAGGTCAGGTAGAGAAGGGTAGTAACAAAGGTAAGAGAGGAAGCTAAGTGGAGTGAACTGTAGAAGTGCATGCCAGTGGTTTTCACGGGAATGTGAATGAGGAGGTTGTACTGACTTTTTTGAAAAATCTAGATGCAGAATATTGAAGACAGAAAGCAAAATGAAGTGGCTTTTGGTATTTTCTAGCTTTACTTTATGTTGAAGAGTGAATGACATGAGTTGTGTTTTTATGTGGATAGCTCAGAGTGTCTGGTATCATTAAGAAGGTTGAGGTTTTTCCTTCATTTTAAGGGTAGTAGTTACTTGAGATCCTTGTAAGTTAAAGGAAAGACACCAGTCAAAAAGGGAGAAATTAAAGATGTAGATGAGAAAGCTGAAGACTGAAAAAAGTAAAAAATGCAATAAATTACAGGTATATTTAGGGTGGTTTCTATAAAGGAAGGGGGATATGCATGGCAGTAGATAGGTTTTAAAGGAAGAGGTTGGGGAGACCACAGTTTTCTTAAAATAGAAGAAAGGAAAGCCATCAGTTAAGAATGGAAAGAATGAGTTAAGTTAGAGGGTTTAGAAATGCAGTGAAGATTTGGAATAATGTTTGAGAGAAATAAGAGATCTCAGTAAAAACAAGTAAAGGATTACTGGGCCACTAAAGACTCAGTGAGACCAAGTTATGGACCCAGTCTAGAGCTCCCTTCTCCTCTCCCATACCCTTAAGTGTCCAGAATTAAAAGGTGTCAAGAAAGCAGATTATACTTTGAAAAGTTCATGAAAAAATATAATTGAAAAGTGATATGAATCTTTCCATGAACTTTTTGAAGTAGTCTCATAGTATTGGTTGGAATATTCTGGAACATTATGACAGAAAGAGTAATTAAGATTACCAACAGTGAGCTCTGGCCTACGTTAGAAATGTGAAAGGACAAGTGGAGGATCCAAGGGAGTTGGAGGACTTAATGAAATCCTAGAACAATATAGTGAGTGCCCTGTAAAGAGCTGGAAGGATGTGGGCAGTTTGTGTGATAAAGTAAGAATTTGTATTTGATTTCCTAGAGCAGTTGAATGAATGAGATGATCCATTGTGTTGCCACCTAGAGAGTAGCTGAAGTGCCATGAAAGTCATTGGAATTGCCTAAGTCTAGGAACTAAGAGGCTAGGCATTTGGAAGATCATCCACATGGGCATTAAGACACACAGATGATGGCAACACTGTGGCCCTCAAGGTTAAAGATAAAAGTGAGTATGTTTACCATTGCAGGAAGGGATCCTATTGGACACAATTTAAAGTCATAGGAGGGATGGGAATAGTTCGATGTTGGATCAGGGAGAGGCATAGATTGGTTTTGATATAAAAAAAAATAAATATGAGAGGACAGATAGATAGGGTTGTATTTTTGGGTGGTAATAAAAGATGACCAGGCAGGTGTGGTACAGTGTGGGAAGATTAGCTGGCCCAAGGCTCTAAACAAATCTGGTATGAAGTTACTTCAGTATGGGGTGTTAGATGAGGACCCGCACTGAGTCAGAGGCCTGGCATAGGCAGGAACAGTCTTAGTTTTCCAAGGTTTTGTCTGTAGAGACTAGGGCAGGCCTCTGACACAGTAAGTTTTTAATGAGGACCTTACTCTGTAGGGCTAAACATGATAGGGCATGGAGAGAATAATAATTCTGTCTGGTCCCCTCAAGGAAATAACACAGCTAATTAACTGTCTTTTGCTACCTCTTCTTTGCTTCTCTTACTACATTTACTGCTGGAAAAATGCTTTCCATCTATTCTCCCTTCTTATTTCAGTCATTCGTGATTAAATTAAGTATAATTATGGCTGATAATTGTAAAACTACTCAATAAAAAAGTGAAAGCTGAGAAATTTGAATTAAAATTAATAATAATCAAGGACCAATGCCACAAACTTAAAAAGATGCAAAAGTACCAAAAAGTTACTTTCAGCAATCTTTATGTCTACTTCTTCAGCCTTTTCTAGTTAAAATAATTTTGCATTCACCTCAACATGTGGACTTTATTTGCCTTATCTTGACTCAAACTGTAGAGGGGAGTAGGTGCAGGGATTGGAAATTTGAACACTGACTGAATATTTGATGAACTATTTTAAAAGCAAGGTTACCATAAATAACCTAATTTAGAATAAGCTTTAAAGTGATTTTGCTACACTCCCTTGTTTGCTTAGTCATATTTTAGAATTCTCATTTTCATTGGAGATATGTACTTTAGCAACATATTGGCCTTCCTAGCAATAGTTCCATTAAAAGCCATTCCTTTACTAAGAAGTATTGGTGTCCTAACTTAGTTCAAGTATGATTTTAACAGTTTTAGCACTTTAGTAATGCTCTAATGTAAAGATTAAATAGCATTAGACATTCATATTATGACTACATATTTTCAGAAATAATTTTTGTCACTGGGAAGAATAGGGCTAAACAGATGAAGAATGAAGATCCTTTGTGAGAAGTTTAACTTCTAGTAGAACTTTTTGCCCTTTTTAGAATACAGTTCAATTTTACATCTTCGAGTCTTTGTGTTGTTGTTTCATTTATCTAGAATGCTTTTGGTTTCCTTTTTTTTCCTAATGTTTTCCTAGTTGGCCAGACTCAAAAATTTCTGTTGATGATTTTCTTCTCCGTACTTCCTAGTAATGCTATCTATAGTCATTAATTTATTAATTGCCTATTCATTAAACATTTGTTGAGTCCTTATTATGTACCAAATATTAATCTGGGGAGTAGGTAGAGAGGCAGAGGGGAGGTATACAAAATAAATAAGATGGAGTACAGTTCTTCCTTGAGGTACTCACTAGCCAATTTCTTAGATATATACCATATTCAAATAATTAGGTTTCATTGTGATAAATTGTGGAATGGCTTCACTTAGGAGGTGACATTTGAAGAGGTCTTACAGAAAAATCGCCAGGAAAAAGTGAAGGGATTTCCAGACAGAGAATCAAATGTCTGAAGTTATGGTGGCATGCCATGTTTGGGAACTAATGAATGGTTGATAGGGGTGAAGCAGAGGATTAGGGTTGGAAAGCAGTTAAATTAATTAATTTTTAATTAATTAATAAATTAATTTGGTGAAATTAAGTTCCCTGTCCCTTCTCAGGTAGCACTTAATCTGTAGAAGTAGAAAAGGCTTACTTCTTTCTTCAGCTACCCATAATATTTAGTTTGTTTTTCTTGCCTTTGGCCTATTTGTATTTATACACCTCTTATTTCTGTTTTTAAGCCTCTTAAAGGTAAAGACTTATTAAAGATCCCTTCTTACTTGTACTTGTTTCTTCCAAAGTGTTAGATATTACACTTTGCTTATAGCGAGCTTTTAACATTTGTTGATGTTTAGTTTTAGTTCTTTGCATTTGGTTAAA